TCTGTCTGTCTTAGATCTTTAAAAATACGGAACGGATCTCGACGGGGTTTTTTTTTAATAGATAAAGTGATTCAAGGGGAAGGTTTATATCTACAAACATACTCATTATCTACTGTATGTATAAACGATACATACACTAGACATACTATTTATATACTATTCCGATTTGCACATACTCGTAGGTTTGAAACAAACATAATGTTAAAGTTTGTAGCCGCTTATTTTTTAAACGACATTTTGACGAAACCTCAATAGACTTTTTATACAAATGGCTTTTGCACTGTGGTTCTCTTTGGAATAGAATTCTTCTTTAAACATTTAACATTCTACAGAAAAATCTGAGAAATCATTTGATCTATTATATATCTCCATATTAAATTTCATTAAGATCCATCTCGACGCGAAGCAACATCTGTTTTTCGACATCGATTTTTTTTTACGTTCAAAAATGTAAATAAAAATATAAACATATAAAACTCAAAACTTCATTTCAATAAAAACATGAAAAAATATATATAATCGGAAATAAAATATATTCGACGTAGCTGTTCTTATTATAAAAGATATGAAATATTTTGGTATTACAGTATTCGATTTAAAAAAAATATTTGATTGAGTGCGGCATGCGTCTTTCCACCGGGTTCTGTTCTGGTAGAAAGACGAGATCATCCGACAGATGCCTACTTAAGCACGTTCTGTGTAGACGATTCCCGGGAGCCATCTTACGGACGAATTTTTCCAACACAAACATCGATGCGGGGAGGGATTTTATGAAATATCGCTCAAGGACGGATCCTATTATATTATGTTAGAAGGCGGCAAATGAGGAAGCGGTTCACATGATGTTAATTGCATCACCAACACATATGAGGTTGCAGTTAGCTCCTCACCAGAGAAACGCAAACGTTGAATACTTTCACTACACGCGGTTTGTTTAACTGTACCATTATTAATTGATGAGTTCAATTTGACTTCATTTATACAGTTTTTGTGTTCGCTTGCCGTCTTCTTACATAAAAAACCATAACAACGCGATTCTCATATACCAACCTCACCTAGGTGGGATAAGAGCGGAAGAGGAAAGATGAATATTTAATTGAATACTATTTGAAAAGATTTTGTAGTGGTTTAATTTTTACATTCTCGTAATGTCAAATTATTTTTTTATGTGAGAAGGTGGCAACCGAGCCGGCGTTTCACCTTACGATAACCAACGATAACCAACGTGATAACCAACGCCCATTGATATTTGGGGTACCCTTGCAAATGCATAACCACCTAGTAATAAAGTGGGCCCCGGCTACCTCACTCACCAGACGAAACGCAAAAGTATAACACTTCCACTTAACGTCTCAGTCTTCCGTGCGGTCGTGGTACTAACACGGGCGGACTCCCATTCGTGCAACAGTGAAGACTGTTGGATGGCCCTACCACGTCACATTCATGTCACATTCATGTCACGAGAGGTGTCATTATTTTTTTTACTAAAACACACCGACTTTTCTTGAAGAACATTAGCGCTGACTATTTACTACAACTAAACATCAATAACTAGTCCTGTACCATCCATCATACGACTATTAATGGCGTACTCCGTTATGTAACGTTACATTACTGCGGACGCGTACATACCTTACGCAAACACGTACAGACACGTGTGAAATACGCAGAACGTAATGGTTCGAGGTAACGAGTTGTAGGTACCGTCATTATAACTAAATTATGTAGGTGCCGTCGGGCGGCGCGCTAATGCGCCGTTGTCGGCCACCGGCTCTCCTCTTTGTTCATGCGCCCCTGGTGTTACGGGGAATGGCGGTCGGATAACTTTGCCTTTTTACTTATTTTTTATCCTGTGTCTTTTTAAAACCACTTTTATAATCTTCGTCACAAATACGATACTCTCAAAATGGCGCTCAATTCTCGAAATTCAGCAAGCCTCAAGAGTGGCCGAGGCTCATATATGGTCTATCGCCCTCTTGAGACACCGAGTATTACGCACATTTTTGTCTCACATAGCAACATAATAATTATAATTACAGTTAACATGAGACTCTTATAAAACTTCATAAATTAAAGTAGTCTTGGGTTATTCGTAAACGAACTTAGTGGGCGGGAATATATTTCTTTTGGGCCCAAACCCGTAGGTTCTGGCTAGCCCAGCGGTTCTGCGTCAGATGAAGCTTTAGTAGTCTCGGGACTGCAAGCAAAAACATCAGTTAATACAACAGTTCTTTTGGCGAAGTATTCGAACTAGTTCGCCAATGATCTACTCATAGTTCTTCATATATTTATTTTTCTGACAATGGCGCTGACCAACCGAATGATTTATTTTCGAGATCTCTTAGTATGTATATATAATTTAAAGTTAAACTTTTTAGTTCGCGATAATAGCACCAAAACGATAGTAAATATGAGATACAGAACCGTTAATAAATAATTTTCCCTTCTTAATTATTATTACTACTGAAATAATTAAAAAAAAAAAACGAACTACAGCAGCAAACTAGTTAGTTCACCATAAGACTGCAAACCAAATTGAACACTCCCAATGGCAACTGACTAAGCCTATAAGATCATATTATATTCAAGTACAAAAAAAATAGTTTTAAAGCCTAAATTTTACTTAACTTCTCTGTTATTAATACATATAAGTTTCATAACTACAAACATGTTCACCATATACCGTAACAATTGTTTAAAATAAATATTGTATACGAAACCAGCATCTGTGCAGGAAACGGGACAGGGCTCACTGACGAACAGCAGGTGAGAAATTAAATTGTTTTTTTTTCCATCGCTCCTCTTTTTAACAAGAAACTCCTTTGTGCCGCTGGAGCCGTTACAACACAAAAGACTACCAGGGCGCCATAGCTCAGCCGCGCCGCTCGGTAATATCGCCGCGTCAAAATCAAATCCTTCGGAATGGTAGCCGTTCGCCGGTTATACGGAGTTATTTGTGACCTGCGGATCGATCGGCACGCTCCGGATACATTGCCCGCCGTGAGTCACGTACGGCGGCGATAATAGGGCGCGACGTGCGATGTACGCCTCCGTGTTCGACGCTCGCGCGATTCGCCCGTTGTTAGCAATCACGTAGCATTGATATGGGAGATTTATAAGCGAACGCGCGCCCCGGGACGTTTGAAGTGTGCGACGAAGTGACGAGGGTGGCACCCTCGCGGGCAATTTTAGCGCTTATCGTATACTACTAAAGATATTGTCTGGAGGTCGGTTGTTAGTTTCGGGGGGTGTCTGTTTCGGCAAGTCTATGAGGATTGCGGGAAAATATTGCTCGCTTTGTTCACCTACCCGCTTATGCACTCCTAGTACCGAGTATAGTATATAAAAGAAAAGTGTTTGTAAACGTCCCATCCCTTTGGGAAAAGGTATAGATAGACGTCATAATATCTGATCGGCTAAATTCGATAGTTTGGTTATAATTTTACCTGTTGGCAGTGAGCATTTCTCAGAAAGTTTATTCACTCCTGTCGTATGTCGCCTTCCCTCGGAGGATGCAGTAAGGAACAAGTTTTGAATTTATTAAACATCTCTAAAGATGAGACATACTAAAATATTTCACACTGTGTGATATACATGTACAGTTAATAAAAATATATATGTATAGTTATATTATGATATATATGTATAGTTAATAAAAACACATAGACATTATTCCGGTGTGGTCCCGAAGGTTCGGGAAGATCAGAACCGGCCCGGGAGCGCGTAGCAGTAAACGATGTCTGAGACGTGACTCGGGAAACTAACGCTACCGTGATTTCGTCGTTAGGGATACGGAGAACTGTGGTGACGTCGTCGAATGTTATTATAATATACACAAACTAGCTGTGACAACGCTGATTTGTCCGCGTGGAATTTAAATTAAATATAGAAAGGTATAATCTAAAACTAAAAATATTTCTGATATATTTTGAGTTATACGCTATGCCCTAATACCCGGCATATTAATACTGTACATATACTGTAAATGTACATGACCTGAAATTACCTATAAAATAAAATTTATTACGATAGTAGGGCCAATAACGCCGTTAACCACAAATTTACAATAAATTGATGGAAGTATTTAATAATCATCCACTAATTTATATTTTAACTATGTTAGGTTATGGTTAAATGAAGTTATTTTATCGCGTTTTAATTCGGTTGTGAATTCATGTTTCGAATGGTGATTAACTGAAATGCAAGAAAGCTTTTTTTTGCATATATTTGTAGTAGTTTTTTTAGTTTGTGAATCATTTTTTGTCCTTCTACCTTGTATATGTGTGCACCTACCTCACTTTCTCTGCACCAAACACAGGTTGACTGTTAGAAAATGCCATTGGCATTAATTCCGCATTTGTACTAGTCTGTGCATAAATTTTAAATAAATAAGGTCTGTCCGGGTAAGTACCTCGACCTCACAGAAGACCGGCGCGAGGTGGAACTGTTATACTTCCGCGTTTCAACTGGTGAGTTATACAGGCGGGGCCCAATTCATTAAAAGATGCCAACGCATCTACAACCCTACGGGTATTGCAAATGTCAATTTGCGACGGTTGTCACTTAACATCAGGTGCCGCCAGCTCGTTTGCCACCTTCGCGCATGATAATTAAAATAAAACAAGCGCTGGGCGGTAAGAAAAAAACCGGCCAAGTGCGAGTCGGACTCGCGCACGAAGGGTTCCATATCATTATCTATAAAAACGACAAATAAATCATTTCAGTTGTATGCCCGGAGCCCGGAGCCCCAATGAAATATTGTTGTAATAGCGGCAACAGTAATACATCATCTGTGAAAATTTCAACTGTCTAACTATCACGGTTCATGAGATAGGTACTGCCTGGCGAGAGAAGGACAGACAGACAGACAGCGGAGTCTCAGTAATGGCGTCCTGTTTTGACGTTGGGTGCGGAACCCTAAAACACTATATTAGCGTTGGCCCGAATCCCGTTGCGTAGCGGCCGGGCCGCGCGTGAAAATGCCCGACTCGCGCGGATCAATGGCGCGTGGCGTTCGTTATGCGCGGCCGGTCGCCGGCGCGGGCGGGTCGACGGTCGCGCGTTAGCGGGCTTGCGGCCTGCGGCCTCCTCCGACACGCACTGAGGCGGCGGGCGCACTGGCGAGCGGAGCGTGCGGCGGAGGCGTTTTTATTTACGCCTGGATAGATTTCTTATGGGAAAGTTGCCAAGCGGGCAGGCGGCTCACCCGATGTTGAGTGAATACCGCCGCTCATGGACACATACACCCGAGGGTTTCAGATGCGTTGACAGCCTTTTGAAAATTGGGCCCCGGCTACCTCGCTCACCAGACGAAACGCGAAAGTATTACACTTCCACTTCACGCCGGTATTCTGTGTGGTCGTGGCACTTACCCGGACGAGCTTGCCCATTCGTGCAACAGCCAACGCTGCTGCGTGGCCCTTCCACAAAAGTTTTTACGTTTATGCGCCAATGTAGGTGCGGCGCGTAGACTGGGGCCGGTCTTTTTCGCTCCGTCGTATATCTGTTCTTGGTCGTCGATTAAATGTTATTAGAATGCCATAACGACTCGTTGTAATTTGTACTTAGTAATATTAATAACTCAAAATTAACTACAATAAAGTTAGATGAATATTTTAACAATTATTAATGCAAAAAATTTCTTGGTGTTTAAAATCAAACAAGAAACTCAAAGATGTAACTGTCGCTCCATATGTTTTAATTTCCCATAAATTTGATGAAATATTCAAAACAATGATCTGCAAATATTTGCCTGAACCTAAACAGAATAAGATAAAACTGTCGCCATTTCTGTTTAATTATTTCCGCCAAATCAGATCAAAAAAATATTTCGGCAGCGTTCTGCTCCAAAGTTAATCAATTCTGAGTTCCTAAACATTTTTTAAATGCAAAATTAATCAAATGTTTTAACTTATTCATTACACTTTGTGAAATATGTTAGTTAGATTTTGATCATTGAAATATAATTTCTGGGTCGTTTGTTTTAAGATGGATTGACAAACAAGCAGGCAGACCACTAGAAGTTAAATGAAAGTCTACAAACGAGGATTTGTGTTTGGGTCGACAACCTTGAAGTGGTCTGGCGGAGGCTACCTCACTCACCAGATGGAATGACAAGGATGAACACTTCTGTTATACATCGGTTTTCAGAGAGGCCATAGTTATTGCCCGGAATAAATGACCTACTTTTACAACATCAAAGGCGGTACGAGACTCGACAACGGTTGAATCCTTAGTACTAAATAAAATAGCTCTAAATAACAGAACATATCAAACCTAATACACAGCACTATACAAAGTACAGTTAATGACATTAGATACATGATCTTTAGTGTTCTGATGACATCAAATAAATCCTTTCAAAGGACTGTATGGATGACAGTCCTTGAAATAAAATCCAAATATAAAATTTACCAAATTCAAATACACTCAATCACTTATTAAAGTATCTCAAACATCTGACGTCCGGGTACAAACAAGGGTTAGAATTAACTGGTTATACTTTGTGAAAATTAGTTTAGGTAACACAGTCCTTATTACGCATAACTACATAAATCATATATCCACAGTAGACCGCATTTGATTGATTACCCTTGGCAAACTGAATAGTTAATAACACACAAAGTGTCGGATACTACCTACGATCGTCTGTGTATGGTACAAATTCATACATTAAGCATGTGATTTATGTATGTGTTACAAAGTATTACAGCTTGAATACATGATAACTATCCCTGCTGTCTAAATGGCAAGCCATACACTGGACTCAAAGCCACAGTATTTTTATGGTGGAATAAAGTTGTGACTAGCAATTACTTTGGTACTTCTGTACTTGAAGTCACCTAACTTGATTTTACTAAATTAAAAGCGAGTGCCCGGATATTAGAATTTTATGCAACTAAGATTGATACAGCTATGGGTTGTAAAATGATAGTTAAGTGCCTAACAGTGTCAACATGACAGTGATAAAGAAAATTTCTCTTTTCAAACAAAAATAATTATTCTTATACTTCAAACAATATATATAAGCTTGATTCTGTTGTGTTGACCAATCAGTTACTTCAACATTGACTCTCGTAAAATCTTCGGTGGTTCAAGACTTCGTCGGAATGGGTCCTGGCTAATTAGAACTGATTTTTCTATAAAAAAATTGCAAAAATACACGGAATAATTATACATGCGGTGGTAGGGCCACGCAACAGTGTTCGCTGTTGCACGAATGGGCAGGTCCGTCCGGGTTAGTACCACGACCTCACTGAAGACTGGCGTAAAGTAGAAGTGTACTTCTGCGTTTCGTCTGATGAGTGAGCTAGCCGGGGACCACATTACTAAGAAGTGGCAACGCATCTGCAACCCTAAGGGTGTTGTAATTGTCCATGGGCAGGCGGTTATCACTTAACATCAGGTGAACCGCCAGCTCGTTTGCCACTTCCTCATATAAAAAAAAACATTATTATATACATATTGACGAAAGACGCTAACACCCTGGAAGGTAAGTAATGATCTTTACTGTTTGATCAATATAATCTATAAATCTGTTGTTATACAATTAAAGATAGCCAACTCAAAAGTATAGTATAGGTAGATAACTCAAATGTAAGCAGAACTGGCAATTAGCAATGGGTCGGCGGCCTAGCTTGTAGAAGCTATAACCAATGGGGAAGAATGGTTCTCGAGTTTCAGCCTCGTATTTGTCGTCGCTGTGTAGGAACATGAAGGATTCCTATTAGTGACGACCGGTTCATGCAGGAATGCACGCTCAAGAACCTGCTTCGTGTCAGTCTGTGGGGACGATGTTCAGCAGTGGACCAGAACAGGCTGAAATGATGATGAAGAAGATGATATAATAGCAGTGAAATCTTGACAACTCAGTGTTGAGGCGCACGCTTTTAATTCAGTATAGCTATCAGAGGTCAAGTCCCAGCACCGATAAAATAATTTCATTGAAATTGACAATTGCAGTTGTAATTGCAAAATTATCGCGGTGAAGGAAAAGACCGTGTGGTGTGCATACTTTTGAAATAACAATATAAAAGGAAGAACTACCTATCAAAGTCAAAGTATATTTATTTAATATAGGCTTAACTTAAGCTCCTTATTGAACGTCAACAAAAAATCTACCACCGGTTCACTAAACTAGACCTGCACAGAGAAGAACCGGCAAGAAACTCTGCGGTCTTGTTCTTTTTGTTATTTTTTAATGCAATTATACAAGCTTATTTTGGTATAAAATCAGCAGCAGCCAGGGGTCTTGCAAGAGCAGAGCAAGAGTCATTTCCACAGATCCTTGTCCTCAATGTATTCTTGGACATTATAGTAGGCCCTCGCCATTAAGGTAGCTTTTACAAATTGTTCATTGTGTATCATTTTCACAGTATAGAAAACAGTAATAACAGCTACGCTTCTAAAATCACGAGACGCCTGTGATTATATCGAATCAGGCGTGCGAGAGAGCCAGATATACGCTCGAGTTGAACAACAGATCCGCCGTCCCACTCGCACTAAGCCCGCATCCCGGATTAGCGTTACCAATTGGCCACTTTGTTAGAGCACGTCCCGGTGAGAATTTATTTGGCCCCGAGCGTACCAAATGCAGACGGTCGAGGTATCGGCAAGGATTTACGTTGAGCCCGCGACCTCTGCGATGATATACGGCTCGTAGCAGCCCTGGACGCGATTAGGGCTGTCAACTGTTGAAACTATGGGCCATTTAAACCGTCGCAAAGTTCTTGCTTGACCGGGAGAGAATAGTTGCAAATTTCCCTGGAAGAAGTGCATTATAAAATTGAACTGTTTACATATTTCTTTAGTATACAAGATTTCATTTTGTTTTTTGTTCTATATAATATATTGATATTTAGGATTTATAATATACGAGATCAAACATTTGTGAATTATTTGCATTTGTAAATTTACTGTAATTTTTAAAAGTCCTACAATTATACTTAACTACCTTAACAATTATTAAGAATTCTGCGAGAAGAGTGCTGATTGATATAATAATGGTTAAATTATTTTTTAAAGATTTTTAAGCATAAAGGTGGCATACAAGTTGGCGGTTCATTTGATGTTAAGTGATAACCACGGCCCATGGACATTTGCAACACCCGTAGGGTTGCAGATGCGTTGCCGCCTTTAAATAAAGAGGGCCCCGTCTACCTCACTCACCAGACGAAACGCAGAAGTATAAATAACACTTCCACTTCACGCCGATCTTCTGTGAGGTAGAAGTACTTACCCGGACGGACCTGCCCATTCGGGCAACAGTGATAGTTGCGAAATAAACTACTTCGACTATTTGAAAAAGTTTATTTCACAATAGTATTTTCGTAACGCACAATCCGCACACTCTTACGATCAAGCGGTCTGCGAAAATGAGCCGCGAACAGACAATGGAGCGTAAATCGTAAAATGAAATATTCCTAATTGTTGGCATGTTGGATCAAACATTCGGCGATGAATATAACGCTTCGCGGTTAGGCAAGGGCTGATAATCACAGAAAATCAGCTGACAATCTTACGTCTCAAAGTCATCCATCTTAAAGGGAAATGCAAGAAGGAAACATAAATATTCACGTCAGTTGACCTCTAATAACACACATTGATTCCGTTTTATAATCATTCGAGTTGTAATCTAAACATTGGCATAAACTTCCTCGTGATTACTTAATCATGACTACATATAACTCAATATTGGTCACGACTTGAATATACTATTTCAAGGTTCAAATAACACTCAAATATTAACTGTCTCACGCTCAATGCATCAAAGCAATACTTGATAAAAAGTTAAAGATTAAAAAGATAAAAGAGAAAGTTCAAATTCGAGAAACGACAGCCCTAGTGAGAGTGGCGTGGTAGTTGGCGCATTGGATCGAATGTTTGCTCGCAGCCGGGACGGGCGGGGCGCGGCGTGACACGGGATCCGTCGGCTAGGCCCGTTCCGTCGCGTGCTCACCGCTCAGCGACGTACAACGCGCTTCTGCGCTCTTGGTACTTTCGTGAATGTTTTCGATTTTTATTACATTTATTTTTATTTATCTTTATTCTTTATACATTGCTTTATAATGACGAAGACAATTTACGAAAACTTAATAATTTTCTTAATTAGTAATAAAATACAAAAAAACGCCTACAAAAGCATAAAGAATAAGCTTTTTGTTCCTTGCACACGTGTTCGTTAGAAAAAAGTTTACCCATTAAATGCGATCGAGAAACTACTGGTAAAATACTGCAACTGCCTCGCTCCAGCGACGTAGTTAGCGTACCAATTAAATGCAAATTGGCAAGTGTCGTTATTCTATAACTCGTATTCATAACGCACGTTGCATACAAAGCCCGAATCGTAAGTCTTTTGAGCGTAATAAAAATTGCCGCCGGAACGTGCCTCCGAATGGCAATCGCTTCATTTGTGGTTTATTCGTGTTAGTAAATACCTCAGGGAAAAATATCACGTAGCGAAAATCTGCGAAAAAACGAAAAAAAGATTTTTTACGAATTTAATCGTTTGTATTTTATGAACGCGTTGTGAAATGAATAAGAACAGCCTTTGTTGGTTCACCGCTGCTTCTTCTCATAAGAAACTCAGATATTCGATAACGGCAATCAGATTATGTAACCATAACATCGAAAACCTTATATATGCATATAGCTAGATTCAAACTATAAATAATAACGTTGCTATCAGGATAATTAGAAACTATATGAAAACCATTCAGCGGCAATAGTTGCTAACGGATTAATATTTCGTTGTTAAAGCATAAGTATGTGCGAAACATTTATTCCGAAACCGCAAATGTAAGACTAAAAAGAGGCTTTGAAAAAAGTTATGATGGATTTTTTCCTACTGTTCCCTATTTTGCACTACTATCCAGTATCATCCACCTACCATCAGGTCAGACGGCAGAAGCACTGGCCGGGTCCAAGACAAAAAGATGTTTTGTCGAAAACAAACCAAGCGCACAGAAATCGCCCGAAAGCACCAGGCTCCCATAAAAGTACGGACGTAGTTGAATATCGAACGGGCGAGGCGGGCGAGCATCACGATTCACGACACAGGATACGGGCCGCGTTATCGCGCCCCCGCGGCGAGCGCACGTCACCTTGTCACCGACCCGGTTTAATGGGCTGCCGAGTACGCGGAATGCATGATTTTGATACTTTGATTTTTGTATTAAAATATATCATATTATTATACACAAAAAAATATTAAAAGATATAATAAAATACATAAATTACATACTACAATTTCAAAAATCTTGAATCTTTAATATTGAATTTATCAAATTTGTATATTAAAAATGTTATAATATTTTGACAAAATGACAAATAAAACGGATTCATTTTAATACAAAAAAACATTATGTTCCATATTTAGCCAAGTTTGAGAATTTTTCAACAATTTTAAAACTGCATATGAAAATAAAGTATTATGCCTTAGGAAATGGTTTTGACTTTGTGATCAAAGTATTATAGAAGAGTCATTATTCATTTTGCAATCAATTCAATTGGTTAATAGTTAATTTACAATATCAGGATAGGATCCTATAACAATTGCAATTCAGATTTCAGCACCGACAAAACACAAGAATTTTCATATTGAGCGAGCGTACGTTAAGAATAATTATTGAGACGGTGGCTCGAAACCGACAAACTTGGGTCGACCAACGCGTGCCTGCCAATAGACCGCACCCACTATTCTGACTCGACAAGGTTTAAACGTGGGTGTGCGCTGTAAATCATATTTACTCCTTATACTTCAAACAAACGACGCTCACATCCTACTTTATTATTTCATTTCGTTGTATGTAAGAAAAATGAACAGTTAACATCTGTGTGTTTGAGCGAGAATGTGGTGTTTTCTGGTGCCTTTAACAGAAAGAGTATTATCCAGTACCACTGTTCACACTAATCCAATGCTGCTAATCGAAGTCAGCCTATCTAAATACAGATTTAGATTAATTATCATCAACCACTGATCGCTAAAGGAAGTTCTCTTATATAATGTTCTGTAGTTATAAAACAGTCGAGTTAAATGTGAATGTGGGTGTGTGTGAATGGTGAAATATGACAGTTAGATGTTATTCCATTTACCATACCTTTTCTTTTTAAATAATAAGAAATACTACTCCTAAACTCTTATCTCATTTCAAATCACGCCACTTGTTATTTAATTGTAATAATATAATTTATGAAATTTTGAATAATTTCAATTCTTTAATGTCTTATGCTACATATATGACTAGTATGACATAAGACATAGCGTGTTTTTAGCAACAATTTAATTCTGTTCGGGGTTGAAGCAATATTTTTAGTTAACTACGATCAACGTCGTGTATGTCAATTACATAAAATCTTTCTTGCATACCTAGGTTCCCATTGTGATAGGACAAAACTTTTTATACATCGAAAACTGAGGTTTGATGGACTGCCGATAGAGTTTGAAAAGTTATTTTAAACAATATTAAAAATTAATACTATTCTATGAACAAAGGCACATGTATTCGGATCCAGTATGTCGGTCCTCACCGCAATATGCCTGCGTAGAAAAACGCTGGCCTGTGGGTTGCATAAAAAATGTCTGGCCTGGCGGCGGGCGGCGGGTCGCTAACGCCGCCTCTAATGACGGCGTGCTCGCCGGGCTCGTTTTTCATATAGGGTTGACAACGACTCCATTACGTATTTTTATAAACAAAGAACTTAATTTTTTAAAACTGTCGCGGAACAAAATTGTAAAATCATTCAACTTAAACATTAACCAAAATACCTATATTAAAAAATTGTAACGTTTTATTCTCAATGTTGTATATTTAAATGTGATCTCTATCTCCTCAATCTAGTCAAATATCTTATTTGAGGTACGGAAAGCTAAATTCTTGATTTTCGATTTTTTCGTGTTACTTTACACTCAAAATAAAACGCAGATTCGGATCTTGGCAGTAACGACACATTAATCTAACATTTAATTTTTATAATTTCCATTAAGAAATATTTTAGAACTATATTACCGTAATATAAATCTAAATATCGTTAGTAAGAATAGTAATCATATATAATCCTTCTTGATATAATTATTTAATACTATGTAGGTATATATTTATATTTCTATGTGTATGTATATGTATGTACTGTATATATACTATTTATATAAATATCAGTATATGTGTATATTTATATGCAATACTTTATATAAATTCATATTTTTCACTACTTCTCATGTGGCTCTTTCGCACCTCCTTGTTCCCTCTACTTATTTGTCGGTTGACTGGTAGAGAACACCTAACGGTGTTAAGTCCGCCATCGTACGTTTTATGTGCAAAAAGTTTTTAAATAAATAAATAATCCTAAATTAAAACCGAAAGATGAGTGTGATGGTTCTTTTGACAGCCCTGATGGTGTGGGTGCGGGCGCTCGCCTCCTACATATTTAATTTGCCCCGACTGGTTTCTGTCCGGGCGCCTCGCCGCTACGCTTTGTGTTTCGTTATGGCTTTATCGGGCTGCGCTTGTAGGGCTGCTTGATTGAGGGATCGCTCCTTGTTTGCGGGCCATAGTTTCGGACGCCCGGCCTAGTTTATCAACCGTGAAAAGGACAGACGATGGAAGCATTTGAAAAGGGCTTGTACTGGGTCGTCATCGAAGTTATAAGTATTTATCAGCATGAGGTTCATAATTTTAGTCCGTTTTGATTCGAACGTAAACTATTAGTCGTTCTATATATAGGATTTTTCGTTATGGTTGGATCATGCAGCAGCTTCTACTGTCACACGTGTGGGTATGCCTTTCCGAACTGCAATGATCTCACAGGAGAATGTGAGGTGAAGTGGAAGAAAACTTCTACTTGTGTATAATAATACATTTGACTTTCGTCTGATGTTCAAGATGACTGGTATTTTCCTTCATAAAAGCATCACAGGTTTTTTTGAAGGATTCATTTTTAATTTTTATTTATTTAAAGAAAAACATACATAGATCCAAAAGACTACACACAGCAGCATGATCACTTATTGTAGATTACACAAAATGTTAATTTTTTTGCTTAGTTATAATATGACATAAAAATACATCCCGAGTGAATCAATTTATCACATGGAGTCGTGAGCATTCGTGCAAACACGTTGCAATCGCGCCTTACCATCAACCGCTTCAACAATGCCGCTAATGTTAAGATTGCGTGATAACATCAAGCAATACGCCCGGTAAATAATACGTCATGTATAAATCTAATCCATACGATCGATTATACATTCTCCAATTTCAGGTTTTATATGTATAATCTATGTAGATAGGACCTTTATAAACATGTGTCTATTGGGTGTTCCAAATATTAACACATTTAAGTGCACCGCAGTGCAGACGCAATGATATAACATAATGCAGCCCCTCAACGTCCAGGAGCGAACCGGCTCATATCTCAATTCATAATTCAATAAGCACCGCGCTCCACTTTCCGTCGCAGAGTGCAATCGCGCGAGAAAAAAGCCAGCAGGGCAAACGGCCGGGGGTGCGCCGGCTGTGGGGGATCGGGGGCAATCACCCGCATTATCCCTGGATGGGGAAACGGGGCGTAATCCCTTATCGCGGCTGCCGACCGCACATCGGCAATTATTATAAAGAGGCACCGATGTAAACTAGCGCGGGTGACGTTCGTGTGTTTTATTGCCGCGATACATCGGTCGATTTGCGGCGGAATAAATTTATCACGGTAATAGTTGCAACGGAAACGGTATTTAAACAGCGTTTTATATAAATCAAGTGTGCACAGCGTATTTTAATGAATATAAGAAACATATAAATGAAACTAATTTTACGGATTTATTTTTAATGTGTAATCGCCTAAATAAAATAAATTATCATAGAAGAAACATAGATTATTTTTTAACAAAAAGCAGCAAAGACAATATGTAATTACAATAAGTATACATTTTGAACAACTTCCGAATATAACATCAATTTTTTACTAATCTACTTAATTTCTTTAAAAATTAAAGATATTAAAAAAGAAAGAATGTTTCAATTACCTTTGGCAGTGATCAAACTTTCAAATTTATATAAAATATAAGTGTCAAGTATCAAAACGACGAAGGTGCGCTGCATTGCACAGTAAGCTACGTGAGCTACCGGCCGCTCTGTCCGCTAGCCGCTTTGGGGTCCCGCAGTGGCAGCCGCCCCGCTCCCACATCTCCCCTCCCGCTCGCACCAACTTACTCTGTGACACGTCCGCAACACGCGAGAGCTTAACTTGAGTCCCGGGCGAATTTCATTCCACAACTCTAGGATGCGTAAAAATTTAATAAAAACCAAAGGGAACGTCTGTGTCGGCGCTTAGTTTCGGTCGTGTTTAAATTATGAATTTTTGGAAGACATTTAAAAAAACCGTCATTTGGAGGTCATTTTATGTCAGTGGATCGTGCTAACTAACCAAAATATCTCTTTGAAATACTTATTTAGGCACCGGGTACAGTGTACTGTGCCCAGCCGGGGGATGTATGGGTTGTAAATTTTGCAGTAAATATCGAAATCAATATCTTGAGTTGCAACTAGGGTTGCCAACTTTTTTTAAGAAAAATAAATTATTACATTTATCAAGTACAGAAAAAAAAGTATTTTTCGAAATTTTATTTATTTCTTCTTTTGAAGATATATTTTTGTATGCTTGCTGCACACACTTGAAAGTTTAAGTGTGTGCAGCAAGCATACAATTCTTATACATCATACAAGTCTTAAAGTTTTGAAAGCTATCTTAGCATTCACAATTAAAATAAAAAAGTAACTCATTTTATATTAGAATTAAAATTTGTGAAAACATATAGTTCACACACAGACATTGATCAGGAACAAAGATTCTAGGTTTAAATATATATCAAATGACAAATTATCATTTATAAGAAAAAAAAAGTGATAAAATATTTAGTTAAATCATAATAATTATGTAATTTACAGCATAAGCTTCTAATTTGAAAACGTTCTGTTTTAACTTGAAATATGGATAAACGTTCAGTAACTATTCATATAGGATACATTCTGTTTTATTTTATGCATTAAATGTTGAGTATATACAGTAAATATTGAAAATGGAGTATTTTCACACACTTAATTTTTATGTAAAATACGTTATTATAAAGTATGGTTGGCAATCTTAGTTTAACGTATTGGTGCTGTTATAAATTTTATTTTATAAACTGTAAGGATTTACCATAAATAGAGCTGTGTTAGTAAGATACACACGAACTTGAAAATTGGATTGGAAACGTTGGATTTTATCATAAGTCATATTACCAATGGGATCGAAATCATTTAAACGTATATTTTACATACCCGTATATATCACTATTTGTACTAACAAAAACATGTTCGTACTGCGAATTTACTATTATGAATTCCTCACAGTTACAGTACTAATTAGAAAGGTGACTGCAACTGAATTAGTTTTTGCGTAAACTAAAAAATATTGATATTTTACATTAAAAACAACATTTCTTAATGAAATAAATTCGCGGAAACTTTCGCGTTTAATTTTGTTTTTAATTCACGACATTTTCAACCGTTTACAGAGATCATGGTCACTGGACAGTTTTTTTAAAATAGTTCATTATGTAAGTGTATCTCTTTGAACAGAAGAAACGACAAACGAAAGCGATACTGTAGATTTTGTAGTATAGAAATTTACAAAAAGAATCTAGAAAGATTACAAGCTTTTTTTTTTAATTTCTCTTAAGCATATTTTTTAAATTTCCGATCAAGCTATAATTCCTAGTCATGTACAATAAATAATGCTTGCGTGAGGTTTTGAAATCACGAGCACACACCTGTCAGCACACGCGACATTCTTACACATCTGACATTTGACCCGTGTTGAATTCGAGATGCGACATTGCACCCATAAATCGTCCTCGCCTTGCACCTTTGAGACGTCCATTACCATAATAATACGCCCGCGCCCGCATGCCGCAGTGAATAACAATAAATGCTAATAATTCGCGGCGCCGCCGTGCGTTCCAGTTTCGCGCGCCATTTCGCGCGCTCTCGGCCAGTCTAATGGCGCTCGCGGCTTTCGGCGGGAAAGTTTAATGGACGGCCCAGAGGTGTTTCGTAACTTGGAAATACACACGGCGAGTGCAGTTGTGCGTTGTATTATTCAAATTTATAAGTTTTTTTTTTTCATATAAATATAAATAAATAAATAAATATTTTTAGGACACATTTTTACACAACGTTCTCTAGTCCCAAGCTAAGCAATGCTTGTACTATGGGTACTAGATAACTGTTAACCATACTTAAACATACTTTTCTTTTGTAAATAAATACATATTATACATATATAAACACCCAGATACTAGAAAAACACTATAATCATCACACAATATTTTTCCAGTAATGGGGATCGAACCCACACCCTCTGGTGCAGGAGGCAGGTACACTACCCACTACGCCATTCGGGTCGTGGAAATTAAATAACATTAATCCAACTCACTCTGAAGAAGGAGGAATTGGGATTTAATATTCCGCGATATTCACAAGCTTTTTCCGCATTCCGCATTTGTACAAATCGAAGGTATAAAAGTATAGGGAACATAAAAACTAAACACAAAATCATAGTAGATTCTACCGACGCATGTGTCGTCTGACAAATGTACCATTAATATTCGAATGAGTCTGACAGTAACTCAAATATTGAAATAATAAAAAAAAGCTCACGCCGCCAGGAATCACAAAAAAGAAATCGATCAAAAGCCCATTATAGATAGGGCTCGGGCGTCGCACGTCGTTAATATCGAGATCGGATGGGATTTGAGCCGCGCGATCAGCGTCCCACGAGTCCCGGGGCGATGAATCCCGGGGAAAAATGGCGGGCGTCCACGGCAGACGGTCTGTAAGTCCGTAATCGACGCGAGGCGCCCGCGATTAATGCCCGCCCGTCTACAAAGCCCGGGCGAAAGAACCATTAAGCGTTAGGGTTGGCAATGGCATTTCCGAACGTTACGGTCGCCGTTTCCGAACGTTAGGGCAGCCCTAACGTTCAGAAACGAACCCCGTGAGCGCTTTTCGAACGAATCGAACGTCGCGCGTAATTCGGATCGTTTGAGAGTTTGAGTTAATCGCTTTTAATGTGACCGGTCGTTACCGAGTTTGTCTGCTAAACTCCTGTCCTCAATCGATGATCAGGGTGGTAAAATCGATGTTAAGATTAAGCTTTTTCTTAAAATGTTCGCTACTATATAGTAGTATAAAATTCTCGTTTACAGAGTACTGCCTTTTATTAACAGTCGCACACCTCAGAAGCATACTTATTTGGACATACTTCTGTTGAATATTAAAGGATACCAGAATACGATTAGTACTAAGCATACCCTTTTACACGCGATATATTCATTTAGTTATAACACCTGGTGGCTTGCACGCTTTCGCAATTAAATAACATTAAACCTCAAACCTCTAATTTTTAAAACAGTATAGAGATGGCTCTGGAATATATAAATATAAAACGACCTTAAATATTCGTATTCATTCGATTTAAAAATACAGTTTAAAGTATCATCAAGTAACTTAGAATCAAACCTAAAGCTTTAAAAACGTATTCTGCCCAAAGACATTGATTGTCCTTATTCAATCCACGTTTACAATTGTTAGCGATGTCCAACGTAAGTCGCGAACATTCGATAAATGCTTCGTATCCGTGGGCGTGCCTCTTATTAATTGCTCGGGGGAAAAATTCCTACGGAAGAATTCTCCGTCCGCCCTGCGTTGCCTAGCAACGGGTCCCACCCGCCTGGAGTCGCCAGATGGTGTCCAATTGGTGGACATGTCCTCGTTTTAAAATAAGTGTAAAGCATTCCGACGAAAGCCTACTTGAAATAATAACTGTCCACCAATATATGGTTAAATAAAGAAAATTTTATCTTTAAAAAAAAACGATTTAATTTCACCCTTTTTCGACTTCCTTTATCGAACTATCATCTGGAAACCCTACTCTCGCCAGGAACCGACGGTCTGCCAACACGAATCAGTCGAAAATCATATAACAAAAGAACTGCACAATTAATGACAATATAACACACGTGCACAATCCTAGCTGATATAACACGTTGCACGAATGGGCAGGTCCGTTTGATAAGTACCATGACCCCACAGAAGACCGGCGTCAAGTAGAAGTGTTACATTTCTGCGTTTCCCACTTTATTTAAAGGTGGCAACGCATTTGCAACTTGCACTTTGCATGGGCGGCGGTCATCACTTAACATCAGGTGAACAACCAGCTAGCTTGCCACGTAATCAGTAAAAAATATATTGTATACATACAACGATAAGAACACTACGAACCAGTGCACTATACTTTTTAAACTGGCCAATTAACGTAACATATATAACCGCATACGTCCCACTACTCGGCAAAGGTCTCCTTTGTAAATAAAGTATTAGGCAATAGTCCACGCGACCGCACTGCGAACTGGCGGACTTCACATATCTCAGAAATATTCATTTTTAATTACCATTTCGAAAGGATTTTACTCTTCGAAAGGATTTTTTTGAAATATTATTACTCCGAAATACGCCGGTTTCCTCACGATGTTTTTCTTCGCCGCTGAGTATTGAGCGCCCAGTGACCGGAAAAGCAGACACAAAGGATTTTCAATGAATTAAACCGCGTTCCAGTTGGCTACATGGAGATGTCAAGCATTAAACAGACTCGAACGGGGGACGTTTTAGAGCGGTTTTATTCGCGCGCTCCACAGTCTGGAGCACAGCCGTTTACGATCGTCAATTCCGTGCGGCCGCGATATCGCAGTCTCCGAACTGAAACTGCTTATTGCGATGAACAATAGATTTTAGCGGGAAACGTTTCATGAAGCGTTCGGGCGACGACAAACGGCCCAAGACAATGTTGTTGTCGCCTAGAAAGATCTACGAGTACGTAGAAATGGTGTTTTTTTAGGGTTCCGCACCCACAGGGTAAAACGGGACCCTGTTACTAAGACTCCGCTGTCTGTCTGTCACGTGGTTCTATCGCATGAACCGTGATAGTTAGCCAGTTGATGTATTTCCGTTGCCGCTATACAAACATACTAAAAATAGAATAAAACATATATTTAAGTGGGACTCTTTGACTCTTTGACTGTTTTTATTTATGTTCGCGCATTCAGTCCGTAGACTATATAGCTTCATAGGGCACAGAACCCGTGGAAAAGTAGTTTTAACGAGCTAGATTAGAACTCTAAATATTCAGAGGTGGTAGGGCCTCGCAACAGCCTCGGCTGTTGCACGAATGGGCAGGCCCGTCCGGGTAAGTACCACGACCTCACAGAAGACCAGCGTAAAGTGGAAGTATGACAAATACTTTCGCGTTTCGTCTGGTGAGTGAGGTAGCCGGAGCCCAATTTTCAAAAGGTTGTCAACGCATCTGTAACCCTCGGGTGTAGCAGATGTCCATGGGCGGCGGTATTCACTTACCATCAGGTGAACCGTCTGCTCGTTTGGCAACTTTTCACATAAAAAAAAAAAAGGTGCAATAACAGTTAGGTTACCGTCGGATATGATATGACATAAAGTCGAGACATAAACTGAGAAAGTTGGCAAAGCGTCCGCAGATCGGTCCTGTATGTTTTTTAACAACCAACAAAAACAACCACCTATTTTTTTTATTAAACCCGTGCTACACATTGTTAACTGTTAATTTTGCATATTTAATTACATTCAGTTTTGCTTTTTTTTATGATCACCTGATTTTCTAGTTATAATTGAAATGAATTCTAAGAAATAGCATTTGTTCTGAAGAACAATGAACACTTGTCTCACATAATCGGACGAATAAAATTGTGTAAACACTGCAATGAAATAGTCATGATTAGGTTAAACGAAAAATATTAATATTAAAATTTTATTTTTTCAAATTGAGACTACTATTATTGGAATGAAACAAATTTTTCATTTATAAAATATTTATTTCCATCAATAACTCACATCATTTATTTTCTAATCTTAACCGTGGCACATCGAACAACAGATAAAATATATTCAAAATCGCTATGATTTAATCTATTGACACTGTTTCTTTTATGAGGTATTTCTTTTTCTATATTAATCACATTTATCACACAAATACTACTTATCGTAAAATATTAATAAAGATATCTATCACACAGAAAATAAATTCGTAATATATTTTTAAAATTTTCTTTCATATTATTATATTTATTGTATAACAAAAAATATAATTCGGACATAGTTCGGATAGGCGACCGATCTATTTACGACCTGTAATAGGGAATCGTATATACAGGAACAAATAAAATATCCTTCGTTTCGATTTTAGTAACGTCCATGCTTCATTCAAGCATCGTCCGTCGGGTAAATTTAAAATTAAAACGAATAAACAACACAGCCAAAAAACACCGAGATCTACACAAACACCGCTCACTAATTTATAATATTACTTATCACGCTATTACATCAATATTTTGGCCATCGTAGCGAATACTTCGCCACTTTTATATCATTTATATCTTTGTACTGTCGGTCGTCATAAAGTGACGTCGCAAAGGAAAAAACACATAATACGTCATGAGCAATAGCTCATGCTGCTAACTACGGAAGGAGGTAGAAACCGTGCGTGAGCATATTGTATCGAATTGAAGGGCCATCGTTTAGTCTTCGGGCTCCGACCCCAAAGAGTACTCGGTCTTGAGGTCCCTCAGATCGTCGGGGGAGTCGTTGCGCATTCCCATAACGGCGCGTGAAGCGAACGTGCTTTGAGTGGCCATGCTGGCTAGTATACCGTTCGACAGAGCCTGTACGGACAGCGCCTCTTGGGAAGGGCCCGCGTAGCTGTACTGTTGGTAGACCGCCTGTATGCGAGCCGCGTTCACCAACGTCTGTATCTTCAGCTGCGTGTCCAGAGCGAGGCTGAGCGGCAACTTGCGCAACTGGCTCGCGATGAGCTTGCCGAACATCTCGAACTCGTTCTCATTTATGCCCTCCGAGTGGCGGCTGAGGTCCTGCGGCACTTCGGACTCTGAACGGTCGTCGCGGCCGGACTTCTTCCGCTTGGCGGGCGGATATATGGTCGCCAGCGAGGTCAGCGGCGTGGCTATGCCGACGGGCGGGTTCAGGAACGTGGTGGAAGGCGGCAGGATGGGGAACGGCGTCTGGCTGATGCCGAACGGCGTGCCGGGCCGCGGCGAGGGCGTGTTCAACACGTACGGGGTGGACGAGCGCGTCGAGCTCCGCCGCTTTCGGGGGCTCTTCTTCTCGGGCGATTTGCGCTCGCTCAGATCCTGCACCGCGTCGCTGTCGTCGCTCGCCGGTATCTCCAGCAGGCTGTTGTCCATCTAAAACCAATGCGGAGCACAGATAACGTATAAACACGAACTAGTCGCGCTCTACAACAAACAAAGGAATCGTAAACAAACTCACCGATATCGGCGTGACGATCGCCCGCAGAAACCTGTCCGCGTGCTCGAACCACGTGACGCTCGGCCGGTACGCATGCGCGCCCGCCTTCCGCGCCGCGCGTATCTTCTTCAGCTCGACGCTGTACGAGGAGCGGATGTTTTTTATCTTGTTCTTGAGCTCCTTGACCGTCACGTCGACGAGATTGAGCGCTTTTATGATCTCTACGTAGCCCTGCTCGCGGATCTTCTTGTTCTTGTAGTGCTCGGCGACCGGGTTCCAGAGATACTCGCGCCTCTCGTACTCGATGATCATCTGTATCGTGAGGTCCTCGCTCCACTTGGGGTTCGCCAGGATCGCGACCATTTTCGCGTCAGCGCATCGTTCGGCGCCTGTTTCGCTCGGAAATCGGCGCGCGGAGCGGATCGCGGCTCGCGTTTTCGCCGCGCGGCTACCAGGAGCGCAGAAGGGTGCGGGCGTGTCGCATGCGCGCAGCACACTAAAAGCACGTCGATGGCCTTCGCCCCGCGCGGGGGGCATCCTATTTCGGGAGTAGCCGGCATCACGCAGCCGCGTGCTTTGGAGCGTGCTGTTTCCTCTCGGCGCCGCCCGCCGGCCGGGCCCGAGTGAAACGGAAGATCGCCCCGTCCGCGGCTACCTGTTCAAGCCGCGGGCCCAGACTTTGTCACAGACTATTTTCGATGCGCCGCGACCGTTGTTTTGCTTCGCGGCCTGCGTAATTCTCGGTGGGGACGGCGCCGCTTCTGTCGCATTCGCGGTTGTTTTGAAGTTCGCGCGGGTGACGCGAAATGAAATTTTGATTATTATTAGTCATTGTAACGTTAATTCGAATTATTAATATTGTTTTCGTCCTATTTAGATTTTTTTGGGAAAATTGTTTTTAATATGTTAAAAAGGAAATTTGTTCCCTCATAACATTTACGTTACCAAAGAAATCACATATCTACATCATAAAATATAGCAAAGACATTTTCCACAAATTGTTCCATATTAAATTATAATACTAATATAAATGATATATTATATTTCATGAATTTTATAAAAATTTTGATAGAAATATTTTATGAAAGAAAATAAATATTGAACAGTCTTAATAAAAAGTCAAAGAAACTAGTAATCAGAACATTTATTTTCTTAATAATATCGCTTCTGTAAAGTTTATAATAATGTTTTATAAACACTTAATTCCTAAAAATTTAAAGAATATTTTTTTCTAATATGAGAACTTTATTTACTTATTGGGTCAAAGGTTGCCGTAATTTCATTACAGACATTTCACCATCGTTAAATCGGACCAAAAAGAAGTAAGCGTTCGACAATCGACATTCAACAAATTTCGTCGTAAAAAAATCTATATGTTGGTCATATATTTAAAAATATTTTCAAAACATGTTACACTTTAGGAATGACAGGATGCTATATTATTAACATTAACAGATTTTAAATTATACGTTCTCTATATAGAGTTTCAAAACAGCGCATAGCGTTCGCGTAAACGAAATTAATCATTATAATACAACATAAAATATTGCAAAACAAATATACGATCACAAAAAAAAACACGTCAATATAAAATATCGCACCGTCACGTCAAAACTCGAACTCGAACTCGACGTTGGCTGGCGAGAAAGAGCCGTGCAAAAAAAAAAAGCAAACGAGAGGGAGCGACTCAAAGCAAAGCTCGTGCGCCCGTTTCCCGCGCTTACGAGACGCCATTACGCGCGCCGCTGGCAGCTCGCTTCGAACGCGAAATGTGTAGACGTTTCGGCGAGCCGCGGCGGGCGGGAAAATGGCACCGATTAGGTTGGTACTCCGTGGTATTATTACTCCGAAACTATTCGCCTTTCGTCGCAATCGCGTGTTTTCCGTTGTTTATTCGGCTCGGATCGTTTCTCGCGTTAGTTTTATTTGGATATTGAATTTTTTGCGACACGATCGAAGTCGAAATTTGATGGCATTTACGACTCAATTAAGCTCTGGTGAACTGTGCTCTACTTTAGATTGAACTAGCTACAATCAGCGGTTTCACGCGTATAAAGTTCAATTACATGGCTCCGATGAGCTTACTGTAAATGAACAAAACTACGATTTTGAACTACTGTAACATCGAAGATAAACATTCTCATAACTGGACCTCTGACACTATCTGAGCAAAATCTGTGCTATAACGACCAAAGGAAACGTTTCAGATATGTATTAATACTATAGTAATTACTATAGTAAATACTGTTCGTAAAGCAACTCGTATAATTATGTAATTTAAAAATTGACTTGAGCATAAAATTAATCGAACCGTCCACAGCTTTAACTCCGATCGATCCATATAACATCGATCGAAGATCGATCACAGCTATCTAACCAACGACCGGTACTGACAAAGCGTTTATTTATGCCACATCTGAAGCTCGAACGCGCCCGCCGCTCGATTTATAACCTACGGATTACGGGAGTTGGCAGCGCGAAGTACGGCTCGAAGGCGCCAAGCGACTACCACTAAACGTGTCGATGGGAGTAAAAATCCCGTACTGATCGCTTGGGTGTGAATAAGCCCTTACTTTGGACAGCTTTCGCGAGAATTGACGAACGTCACTATTGAATATTTACCTACATAATTATATATTCTTTCAAATAGTTTAAAGGGTATCCTTGATTATGGCGACGAAGTATTGAATTAGTTTATTATTACAATTCTTCATATAATTTTGTTATTGGTGACATTTTGGCATTAAATATCTACATTCTATTATTATTTGTATAAAACGAATACCTGAAACTATTCTTTTTTTCAAAAACTTAATCTAGAGAGACAGTTCAAATATTTGTTTAAAAAAATTTATTGCTCTATTATAATTTATAACGATTTTAGGGTTTCAATGATTTTTAAATGTTCTACAACGCAGTTGAATGCGTTAAACAGTTTCTTTTATTACGTTGAGCAAAATCCCTTTTATTTGGAATAGTCAATAACTTCATTGAAATAAGGGTAAAACTATGTATTGTTGTTATTGTATTTAGAAGAATTGAAAACTGTTAATTACGGATGATTTAAAAACTGGCTACGTATACAGTTCTTATAAAAAAGTAGAGTATAAAAAAATATGTTTATTATAGATACATTTTTCGTCGAATTCAAAAAAAGAATCGAAAATGGAAAAAAGAATAAAACGTGAGCTGTCTACGACGCAACCGAGGACGATAAGCGGCGTCCGCAGCGTACGTACGCCGGCAGCCGTTGGCAAGCGTCGCGTGGCGTTATCGGCGACCGCATAATCCGGGCGGATTTGCATACGCCGCGCGGACCGACTCTCGCCCGCTCCGGCGGGATGGGAACTTTAACGAGGGACGTGTTTAAGTGCGGCCCACCTCCGTTAGCTTCAGGGCTGCCGCGTACAACTTTATTTGTCACGACCGACAGGCAAACAGGGCTGCCACACCAAACGTTTTTATCACCAATTATATTTTTCGTACGCGCACATACTATTAACAGCTTTAGGTTTTTTATTAGACTGGGCTACCATACTGGCTAGTGCTGATGGTGTTGCTGTCCTTTTTGGTAAACACACTTTCACGCGTCTTCAGTTAATTTAGGGCTGTCACGTGCAACTTTATTTTATTACGAAGTGAATTATTCTGGGAATGCCTATATTTATTTCTATCGGGAACTTGGTAGACTAACCCAGACTACAGACTACGTATAATGTGATTGTGAGTGATGTAGCCCTAAATGATAAACGCGTCCACTCTGTTAACTTTAGGGCTGCAGTTTACAATATTTTGTCGGCTGGAACCAGCACTAGCTGGTAGGGCTGTCACAGCCAACAGATTTCGACAACGAACTGAACGAAGTTGTAGCGGTGGATGGTAATCATTTTTATCTTCAACGCTACCAATTTCATCTTAACTTTATTAAGTAGGAAGGGACTTGGACTTTTTACTACGTTTTGTTTTTTTTTATTTTGCGCCGGCAAGAGTCTGTCGTTTTTCTTAATATTTGACATAATGATCGCGTTGAAAAGCGATACCAGTTGCTTAAGTAAAGGATCTCAAGTCTTACTTCTATTAAGACTTGAGACCCTTACTTAAGGTACACAGGCGGACAAAAAGGTTCATCAAAATAGGATCCATGTGGGATTCCAATTTTACTAAAGAATATATAAATTTTGATAATGAAAATAATAACAAGTGAACCCTGAAAAGGTAGAGTACTTATGTAAGAAATCGTATGAGATAATGTCATTGCCGCTTACAATTATCTGTTTAGATTTCATTAGGCAGAAACACGTGTGGGCTATCTCTTCATTACGAACAAAAACAAACTCATTAATTCACTCGAACGTTGAAATGAACTTTACAGGTTCGAGATAAACTTTCGTTCGAAATTTAAATTGATTGTCATTTGATGTTAACATTTGAATTCGCATGTTTTTTTTTTAAATAAAAGTGGTTTATTAATATTTATCATAATTTTCATTATGCATTGGCAAGGAATTAATGATAAATTGTCGCTGAAAGATGTCATAATCATAAGAAAATGTTGTGAACAATAGCTATGTTGTGAACAAATGTCAAGTTAATCTATCGGATAATTTTTGAGTTCTGGGAACATGAACATACGGAAGTAAAATTTGTATACATAAAGATTTAACTCAATATTGAATTTTATAATTCAGCCGGAGAAACTTAGCTCGAGAAAATTGCTCAAGCCGGACTTTCAGATCCAATGCCAATGAAATTAATACCGGACACACACGTGCGCGCTCAACGGAACTATATCCAAAAAGAATTTTTAAAATCGGTTCATAAATGACGGAGTTCTAAGGTAGACAAAAAGAATACAAGCGACTTGAGAGGCTCCTCCAATTTTGACGTCGATTTGAAAAGGCAATCCTATGCAGCATGCAGGGCTATAATCATTTACTTCGGGAGACCATTTGCTAGCTAGCCGTTATTATTAATAAATCCTTTAGCCTAAATAATCCCGATATAATAAAACTAAAATAATAAAAATTATCTAATAAAATAGACTTACAAAAAAATACACTATTACATACTAGACAAACCATAATCAAGCGTTACGTGCTACCTAAGGCGCTATTCAGGTGTTAATTTGTTATTGTTAATAAATCCTTTAGACTGTTATAATCTGGAAGTAATAAAATAGAATATAAAAATAATAATCAAATACAATAAATAAAATAAAAATGCTCTACGGTCTACACAAACCACAAACAAGCCCTGTTTTTGCATTCAAGTGTTAATTTTATGTCAAAGGCTGCAAGTTTAAGCTGACCGGCACGTACTAAGTTGTGATATCAAGTTAACATATACATAGCGAAAACGTATTTGCAGTGTCTCAGTCGGAAACTGCAATTTGAATGCGATCCAGCACCTCGGAGGTATCAAAGCACCTTACCAGGGTACCAGAAAGGCTAGGAGCTAGCTAGCCCCATTCTAATCATGCAACGGAATTTTGCCGAGATTAGAAAGAGGAAATGCGAGGAAAGAGGATATCTTTTATCTCTATAATTTTGAAGATATTTTTAATAATTTTTTTTTTGCATGAATATTCGATATTTATTAATATTATTGTATAGTGATATATTTTTTAATTCTTTATACAATTTCTTTAATGTTTAATATTATTATTCCCTAATTTAATTGACATGAATTTCGCTACTAATATTTCTACGGTCTTTTGGGGCAAAATACTTGTGTTATTTTGGAATTATACATGACATCATGATATCTGATGATGACATCTGATTGCTTTGTAAAACCCTTTATTTTTTACAAACATGTAACGTGCTATTATGTTATTTTATTTCGAGCGCTCTGCAGCATTTGCGGTCTCGGGATAAATAGTTTCGAGGCATAAAAAATAAGATATAAGAAAGAGATGGACGACTTTTATCTACCTTATTCAGCCGACAGATGGTGGTTTCCCAGCGATCGCCGACTTGGGACAGATATATCGCAAAAACCAAGGAATATGAAAACTTTACACGCTACCGGGTTCAAACCGTGGCCTTACGATGGCAAATCTGACCTCGCCCTACCAGGACATCATGCGAAGACAAGAAAATTATTATTTTATAATCCACAGGATTTTCTTATCCACAGGAACTGTGTGGAACCGCTAGTGAGCAGGTTTAAATATTTAACCAAGTGGTAGTTAGAATGACTTATTACAAATTACTTATTAGGATTATTTTACAAATTACCTATATTATCAGAGCCGTCATAGCTCAGTGTCCGGGCGCTCGCCTTTAATTGAATATACTCGAGCAACCTGAGTTTGATCCCCGGTGCCGGCACCAATGAAGTTTTTAACTTTAAGTGCTGACTTATCACGTGCTCCGCGGTGAAAGAAAACATCGTGAGGAAACCTGCATATTTTCGAAATAATAACAAAAAATATATATTTCGAATATATGTGAAGTCCGCCAATCCGCAGTGGGGCCGCGTGGTGGACTATGCCGTGATACTCTCTGTATAGAGGAGGCCTTTGCCCAGCAGTGGGACACGTATAGGCTGTTACTTTACTTTACTTTTTTTTTTAGGATTAAGAAATATAGGGCATCCTTTAAACAAGCTTTATTCGCTTCATGCATAACAATGTATAAAAATATATGTATTTATATAAGTATGTGTAAGAATAGTTGAATTCAAATTTCATGCGAAACGAGACAGATTAGCAAATATTTTCGGAATAAAGCACACACGAACAGTCTACGACAGTGAAATGTTCACACCATCATAAACTTAATTATTGTGACGGAATGAACGAATCATTTTAGAGATCTTTCTAGATCTTTTCGACGAGTACACACGAAAAAGTCAAGGACATATTCTGTACCGCATTATAACTTGCCGTATTATAAGCATCCTCAAAACATATTTGCCCAATACAAATCTTGTAGACGAGTAATTGTTTGCAGAGGCTCTAGTCGGGCTGATGTGATTTATAACATTTTAAAGCATATAATCCATGTATACAGAATGAGACTTAGTTCTCTAGGCGGTAAAGGCGTTTATTGATTGCTCATTGTGGGACGCGGTTCACGTAATGACTTGGGTTTCGTGGATCATCGGTGGCCTTAAAAGCATTTGCTCTAGTTTTATCCAACATGAACCTTTTTCCGGTATAAGCGATAACAGTGTTAAATAGAGCTTTTTTTTTTATGTGAAAAGTTGCCAAACGACCAGACGGTTCACCTGATGGCAAGTAATTACCGCCGCCCATGGGCATCTGCTACACCCAAGGTTTACAGATGCGTTGACAACCTTTTGAAAATTGCGCTCCGGCTAACTCACTCACCAGACAAAACGCGAAAGTATTTGTCATACTTCCACTTTACGCTGGTCTTCTGTGAGGTGGTACTTACCCGGACGGGCCTGCCCATTCGTGCAACAGAGACTGCTACGTGGCCTTACGACCGTAGAATTTATGAAGCAAATCATTGGGGAAAAATTTTTGGCAAAGCATTGGGGAACTTAAATTAAATTTTCAAAATGTTATACTTAATAATCCCTGAATATACCATCCTTTAATAATTCACTTAAACCAAGAGATGTACTTCGGTTCTACTCTTATTATTAAAAAGAAAACAAACATTCAATTAATGTGAAATGGCGTCACTGTTATTAAAAATGACGAATATACCGATGTGGAATGACGTAATTTTCATTTAAAAAAATATCATTCTAACGCGCGTCACTATAATTGTTACTATAAAAATGTAAGAAAATTTCAAACTTCGAACGTGATCAATTCAAACATTAATGACGTACCGAACGATCGAAGGTAGCGGCCGCGTATAAATCCGCGTGTTTGTCATAAAAAAAAAAGCGAAGTGAAGAGAGATTAAAAAAAAACGAGCGCAGCGGAGAACTTTACGGCGCGATGAGCGCGCCCGTAAAATATTTTACGCGGCTGCCGACGTATGTGCGCGGGGTTAATATATTCGCACCGTTGACGATTCATCGTTAGCGGACGGCGGACCCAAATCCGGACCAAAGCTCGTTAATATCGGCCGGAAAAATCGCCAAATTGTTAAATATTGGTGGCAAGGCTGTTCCACCTTACCACCGGTGAAATCGAACAATGGTGTTAGAAATAACTTATAAAACATAGTTTTTACCAATTTATACAACTATAACTCAATAATTGCATAACAATAATACTTAGTGTCAGGGTTTGCCTGATTGTAGTGGAAGCAATGCTGCCTGTCGGTAAAGCTGGTGGAGTTGGTCTTGAAATAAACCACTTTTAGACACTGTTAAATTTATTTTCTTGTGTACAGCCTTTAGTGACACGTCTATGCGAGAGAGTTCAGTATACAATTATATAGTATATAATTGCCATGTATAAAAATAATCTTAATGTTGCCAGCACTTAGCTTTCCCATCTGAGCAACAATGGAGGATAATTTCTCGAAGAGTGACAGGTAAAACATTGAAAATCGATCGATATAAGAAAAATCATCTCCAACCAAAAACCGCAGCATTCATGCTTCTGTGTACGTTGAGCCTTGAGACTGAAGGCGATATAACATCATACAACAAGTCTGTTCATCAGTCAATCTGTCTCAAGTACAGTCTCCGCGGACGATAGTACACTCGAAGTCAGTTTTTTTTTATGTAGGATAAGTTGCCAAACGAGTAGACGGTTCGTCTGATGTTAAGTGAATGGCTCCGGCCACCTCACTCACCAGACGAAACGCGAAAGTATTATACTTCCACTTTACGCCGGTCTTCTGTGAGGTCGTGGTACTTACCCGGACGAGCCTGCCCATTGCCCATTGCCCTGCCCGTGCAACAGCCGAGGCTGCTACGGGGCCCTACCGCAGTCAAAAATAAATAGTTCACTATCCCTCATAAAAAAGCATTACTAAATATTCCATTGCACAATCTTCTATTAACCTTATAACTATCATTCCATCTCCCGCCATTTCCGAAACGGTGATAGACTAAAAATATTACGTTCAACAAGTGTCATGTAAAAAATGCGCGTTGAATAAAACATTAGTTCGTTCCTTGTCTCTGGCAGTACGTCAATGGTCCTTCGAAGAGTGCATTTTATATATTTAAAAAAAACTCAATTGGTTACGGAAAATAAAATAGTTTTTTTTTTATTTGCATCTGGCCAGCACTTGACTGCCATCCCACCTGATGGTAAGTGGCGATGCAGCCTTTGATGGTAAGCGCGCTAGCTCAGTAAAAACCTATTCACTCTTGCCTTGAAGACGCCTACGTTGTAATCGGACGGAAAGACGGACGCCGGCAGGTTGTTCCATTCCTTAGCTGTACGGATGATAAATGATGAAGCAAATCGCTTGGTTCTTGTTCTGGTAACGTCGACAGCATATAGTAGTCAAGCTTCTCTCCGGCTGGTCGTGGGTTCGACTCTGAAGAAGGTAAACAGCAGGGCAAGTTGAACGATCTACGGGCTGAAATTTTCTTTCTTCCATTTAAAAATAAACAGAGCAATTTGATCGAGCTACATACAGGCTGTCCTTTTTACCCGACTGCACCAGATGGAGGGTTATGTTTTTCGAGAGTATTTATAATTGTTTGGCACGATCTGTAGCCTGAACGGCTTGATGGAATTTAGCTTGAGAGGGTCGTTATTCGTATTTAATATGAAAATGACACTGAGTACATCAAAACAAAAAATTACACAGAATCGCAGTCGGGTTTTTTAGTTCTTTAAATTATATTCTACTTGTTTCTTTCATTTAAAAATCGACAGAGCAATTGGAACGATATACAGGCTGCCCTATTTTTTTTCCATTTAAAAACGCTACACGAAAGCTAGTGCCCCAAACATGAAATCGTGGACTTAAAACGGTATCAGTGGTTCTAATATTCCCACTCTGGCTAATGTAGCGCAGCTTTGCTGTATCTTGGGAATACCAACGCTGTACATAATGCCAGGCTATTTAGAACGATGCGCCGCGTTAAAACAAATATCGGGGTTCACGCCCCGTTTGTGACGTAAACGTAAATAAAGACAATGATTTTATTTACATTCGATCAATATAACCCCCATCTGCTATCCAATAATAATAACCAATGACACACACCCTACAATACCATGTACCTCATGGAACAAAATTACACACACATAACGTAACAATAATAATAACACTTTAGTTAAAAACATGGTTGCACAATTCAACGTGTTACGTCATAGATCCTTGGTATCGCATGTTTTTTTGCTCCAAACGAGGGTATAATATTTATACTACTGTACATACAAAAGAAAAAGAAAATATATTAAAAGAAGTAAAGAATGTCGATCAGATTTCAGATTCATAGATGTCGAACAGATTTATATTAAAACATGAAATATATTTGTATCCATAATCTTGATACATTTAGAATTATTACGTTATAATGAAAAGTTACACGAATATCAAATAATTAGGAAATTATTTGATATTCATCTAAGTTTTCAAGCAATAATAACTTTTGAAGTAAAGGATTAGCTTCAATTTCTTTTTAAAATGGAAAATTTTACTATGTAGGTATGTATTTATTAACTGTTCTTTATCTTTATATCCCTTATCCTACCTAGGTGGGATCGGCACAGCACGTGAAACGTGTTGTTAAAGAATTTGGCTAGGCTTTTACGACCTATACCCGACGTGAAACCTCCTTGGGAACAAGCACCCAGATCCGGAACAATTATGGTTTTTGGGATCCGAACCCACGACCCTCCACTAACTGTGCCGCCGTGTCATATAAATCGGATAACATCTATTTATTATCTGTTGGACGATACTTGGTCATACAGTATGTAACCATCCTATTGATTCGTGTTACATTATTTTTTTAACCGTGGTAGAAACAACTGCTTACAACACAACCACAGCTGCACAAACAGTTCTCAACTAGGAAATTACCTCAAGAGACCGGAAGAACTAAAATTATTAATATACGCGTTTCGTCCGGTGAGGTAACCGGATGCCAACTCTCAGCAGCTGGCAACACGCAACACCTCTGGCGTGTGTCCATGGGCGGTTTTTCCACCATAGATCAACCGCTACTAAATTGCCATACGTTTTAAATATAAAAGCAGTAACTGTGGCAGGGTACGCAATGATCTTCGCTGGTGCTCGAATGGGCAGGTCCGTCCCGGTAAGTAGCACGACCTCACAGAAGACCTGCGTGGAGTGGGAGTGTTCTGGTGTGTACGTTAATCGGGGCCAACTTTGTTAAATGGCATCTGCAGCCCTATGGGTATTTCAGGTGTCTATGGGCGACGGTCGTCATTTTACATTGGGTTAGCCGCCAACTCGCTGGCCACCGTCTGGCGAAAAAAAACAATGATTATCCTTAACGTGTTCTTCTCAGAACAAACGATTTCACGCACGATTTGCTCCACGATTCGTGACGTCGCGTTTAAATATTCAATGAAAAATGCTTCTTTGTTTCAGTATCTCTTCGGCGGTTCTAGCACGGAGAAATAATTCGACGCATAATTTCTAACCATTTTTTTTAATTCAAAAACTGGCCAGCACTCGGATGCCATCCCACCTGATGGTAAGTGGCGATGCAGCCGTTGATGGTAAGCGCGCTAGCTCAGTAAAAACCTATTCGCTCTTGCCTTGAAGACGCCTACGTTAACAGTGCTTCGATTACTAAGTCCACGAACGCGTGTCGCAGTTAAATAAAAATGTTCTGGTAAGTTCCCTTCTAGATGGAGGTACCTGTGCTATGTGCGGGAAGTCGATGGATGCAGGTAACTCAGTATCGTGATTCGTGGCAGTCTGTAGTGGAGGCCTATGACCAGCAGGCCGGATTGAATGAATGAATGAAAAAGTTTCTCGCAACTCTTCTAACGTAAGACGACTCCGGTTGGGTGCTAATATTAATTCGAAATACTGTTTTAAGATAAAAATAATTACACTACATGCTCTTCTTCGGTTTCCTAAATGATAGCGGGCCGTTGCTAGTTCGACTATACCTTACTTAATATTATAAAGGCGAAAGGTTGTATGTATGGATGGATGTTTGTTACTCTTTCACGCAAATATTACTGAATGGACTTTAATGAAACTTTACAATAATATAGCTTATACATCAGAATAAGACGGGCTATAATTTATATACATACTAGCGACCCGCCCTGGCTTCGCACGGGTGCAATGTATTATACATATGAACCTACCTCTTGAATCACTATATTTAGTAAAAAAAACGCATCAAGATCCGTTGCGTAGTTTTAAAGATCTAAGCGTACATAAGGGCAGACAGACAGCGAGACGACTTTGTTTTATACTATGTAGTGATGCACAGCAAAGAGACGTTTACATTTCAAGTGACATTTTACCACATTCTCTCACTTGTTTTGTCTTCCCGGAACCCCTCCACTAACATTTAAACTTTATGTTATGGTATTAAAGTTCAAATTGACTTTTAAGTATTATTACGAATGTCTTTTGTACGGGAAAATATAAAAGTGTTGTTTTTAGACATTTTCAGGCAATTTTTTAAATTATTCTCTCCGTAACAACCATCTTCCTACTTCAAGGAATATTATAAAAAAAGAATTAGCGAAATCGGTCCTGCCGTTCACGCGTGATGGCGTGACCAAGGGAAATAGGGATTCATTTTTATATATATAGATTTTATGTATATCTGTCTTTCTGTCTGAATCTTACGCCTTCAGCCTGTTCAACGCAGACGTAGTCGCGGGCAGCAGCTAGTAAGCAATAAGCAAGCCCGAATTGTATGAAAAGATTGTCATCGTATTCTGACAACAATATCGCTGTGTACCGACGATCTGGAACTAACAATGTGCGACCGGGAAGGGTTTCAAAAACCAAGATGGCCGACAGGATGCGGAGTCCCGCAAGCTGTATCCGGCCCGGGTGCCACTTAGCCGCGTACGTGAGATGAATCCGGTCGAGAGGCGTCCGCGCCGGCGTTGGGGACATTTCGACGGAAAAAATGGCGTCCCCTATCCCTTACCGTAGACACGACTTTTGTACTCAAAGCTAAACGTCAAGTGAGATACACTGACCATGCTAGAACGTATTTTCCGCCTGCGATTATACCATAGACATGATTGCTTCGATCGTTAAGCTTCGAGTGACGTATCACATTAGGAGTAAGGCGCATATAACGTAACGGGTAATTATAACAGGTATCTTGAAATAGCAGACTGTACCTGTTACAAACTTAAATAACAGTTCCTGTTCCACACATTCTTTGTTCGTTAACGCGCTGTCACAAGCTTTTCGGTATTCACTCTTACGACTGTTACCTTGGTTAGAATGAGATAAAACCTGTTACATCCTCTCTCTATGGTAACAGTGATACAAATTGTCACAACATAATATGAAATAACAGGCTGCTATTTTGTAATAGGTATTTGTCACTGTTAATATTAAGTCACAGACGTAACAGGTATATGATTTTACCTAGTATAACTCACTCCTACATGACATACCGAAATGATAAGTAGTAACTACTAGGCTATTGCATGAAGTCGAAGCGAGAAAATCACCGTGCACATCACATCAAAGGGCCGCGGCGGTTGCGAAGATATATCTGTCGATCGACCTCGTACTGTAATTCCCCGCATCGTCCTTAATACAACGAGCCTAAGGTCGCTATTCGCCTGACGCGTCACGCAGCTATTTATGGCGAGGATTATGCAGCGGGGCGGCAAGAAACTTCCACCGCTCACACTGGGAACGTCATAATAGGGAAGAACGTCCATAAAGCTTTGTGGCCATAGACTATATCGAGAAAAAATCAGGGAGATTAAGTTAAACAAGGACTTTATTCATCTCATGATGCAATTAAAAAACCGGCCAAGTGCGAGTCGAAACAAAAACGGCAAAAATATCATGTCTGTTGTGTGCACTTAACCGTATTTCCAAATCATTTTCAGAAATCATACTAATGTACCTAATATTTTTTTATTATTTTGAATATGCATTCATATTCTAGAATTAATCTTCTAAAAACCTTTTCCAACTCCACTCCAGCGGCCAGTGCGTTCGAATCGCGCGTACCATTCCAGAGTTCGAAATTTGAATTCGCAACCAGTGCGGCCGATAAAACTGAGAACGTTGGCGGTTAACGCCGAGCGATCCCGGCCGTCGAACGTTATTTATTGAGCTGCCGCCGAGGCGTATCACTGGGAGCGCAACAATTCGCGAAATGTACACTCGCGGCGACATAATGAGGGCGACAGCGGCGTGGGAGGATAACAGCCCGCCAGCCCTCCGGCTCTGGCCCTTTGACGCGCCGCGGTGGGGCGTGCGATGTATTTGATCGTTTATACGCCGCCTCGACAACTTTGAAGCTTGACTATTTTATATTTACGCTATTCACAAGTTTTATTATTTTGTAAAGTGTGTTTAGGGTTTGAATCCGAAAAGTTTTTTACATTTGTTTAAAGTGCGTACAAATTACTAACATACAAAAGTAAATATATTATAATATAATTTTTTATTACTTTGAGGTTATTTTCTTTTAAGCCCGTAAATTTTACCGAACGAAGCAACGATTATGCTTGATATTCAAACTCGCATAAAAAATATCAAAAAATAAAATTCATATAAAACGACAGTTTGATTAACAAAACAAACATTGAAGAAGTGACATTAAACTGTTTACAGTTCTGAAACTGAACAATTTTTGGGCTACACTACATAGTGTAACAACAAAGTAAAACAAAGTAGCCCCGCCGTCTGTCCCTATGTGTACTTAGATCTATAAAACTAGGAAACGGATCTTGATCCGGTTTTTTTTCTAGATAGAGTGATTCAAGAGGAAGGTTTATATGTATTATACATTGCACCCTCGCGAAGCCAGGACGGATCGCTAGTTATACATAAAGTTCAAATATCTCATTAGTATCAACTAAGTTAAGCCGCGCTGCAGTCCGTCAGCACCTCGACAGGCGCGAGGCGCGGCCCGGGGCGGTCGGTGTTACTATGGTTAGGGTTGTCATCTAATTTCCATCGGCGCGATCATTATTCGGCTGCCGGCGTTAGCGATGGAAATTCAATCTGTTTTCGAATTACGTCTACCGAAATGATATTTGTACGATTGCCTATACCTAATAAGAATAAATAAATAGTTATTGTACAGTACACTTGGACCCGAACTATTGTGGAGCACGGAAATAACGAGTTTAGATTTTTTTTCAATTGATATCTTAATTTAATAAAAACAACTCTTATATTGATTTGACATATTATGTTTAAATTTTTCTTAGTGCTAATCTCTGCACTTAAGTTAAAACAACAAGTTTCTAAAAAAATGTATTGACTTGATTGACTTTATTGAATGAAACAACCCGTTTTAGAAACAAAGAGCGGTATATAGTTATTTGATACTTCTTGTTAGAGATAGGAATCTAATATAAATTATTCTGAACACTCGCTACAGCCCTATTCACTTTATCTACCTACGACCGCGCCGCGCTGTGTACACACAGCCGTATAATACCGCCTGGGAAACGTCGAGGCCTTGTTATAGCTATGCGTATAGATAGACACGTATCGGTGAAATCGTGCCGTTCAGAGATACTCCGTCGGTATATGCTACAACTCTACCGAAAATGAAAAAAGAAATCGCATCCACATATTTTTCTACACTACAGATTAAATCTGAATAATTATAACTTGTGTGTATTGATGTTTAAATCACAGCATCGTTTATGTACCTTAATTTTTTTTAGTCAGTATTTAAGGTTTTTCATAACATTCTATAATGTCTATAAACGTTTGCTTTTATTTGAACTTTGACATTAAACGAAGACACCGTAATAAAAAGTTAAAGTTACTTTATAAAGGATAGAAAATTATAAAATTAATGCTTTTCTGCGAAAGTGAGTATTAATTTCCTGCCTACCCTGTGCTAAATAATAAACTTTTAATATGCAGATAATCTCTAGCCAAGAAGAACCTACGCGGACTTCCAGGAAAGTTCGAACCGTCGTCAAAGGAAAAGGGGATAAAGTCAAGTCGCCCGGGGCGTCGTGACGGGAGCGGCTACCAGGCGCGCATACTCCTGCGGAGTCGGCACGCGCCATTAGCCGCGAGCCGGGCGCACGGAACGGGCCCTATTTCCGCGAGGAAGCGGGCCCGGAAGCCGCGCCGCGTCCGCCTCGCCCCGACTAACTTACTCCCGAGTCGCGCTTCCACCGACTTATGTAACCCTGGTACTTGTTCTATATAGTTGGATTAAATTTTTTAACTGAGCGTTTTTTTTTCTTCTTCAAAAGAACAAAAAGTTATTTTTATCTCATTTCAACACTAGTTGCACGGACGGCTTAAGTGGCCAACTTACTAACAATTACTATTACTAGCAATGGCGGGTCGGGTTGGTCTAAATTATTGTGTCCGTGATTTCGTGTTTGTATGTTGGGTTTCTTTCATCCCTCCGCGTCACTAGGGTTATTATATTTAATAATTTTGAAAAGATTCTTCCAATCGCAAACGGTTTAAAACATGACTAATTGTTAACAACGTATCCAAAAGATAGATGTAAAACAGCAATTATGCAAATTTCGAAACGTGAGGGGTGAAGGTTCGAAGCAAAAATTTCCAACGACCGCCGGCCGAAATCGTAACCCTCTAATCTCGCCCGAGTTATACGACGTTATAAATTTTAACTATAAGGGAGGCAATAACTCAAGTGTAATATGGCAGTTGTCCCATACTTAAATCCGACCGGGTCTGAAATTCCGCAGCGGTCCCTCTGGTCGCGCGTTTCTTATGGGACATTAAATTAACGAGGCCCTGATGTGTCAAAAATTAAAAAGTTAATGACCCGAAAAACGGCCAGGATTTATTTTTAAATTCCCTAATAAAAGAACTTCAATCCTCAAGATAGGTTTCAAGTTACCTTTTAAAAAATAGATAATTTACCAGCCAGTATTTGAAATTAAAAATGAATGATGAAAATAATAGCTTCTAAAAAGTAAATTATAAAATCCGTTCGGTGCAACAGAAGCCATTGACAGGCGAAGGTCGAATCGAAAGTGTTACCTCGATTACGGAGCGGTGTGAGCTTGGAAAATTCAATACCTGAAAAAAAAAGACAAGGCGTTAGAAAGGTGCATTTTATATCGGACTGCCGACGCAGACGAACTGACTGGGAATCAGAGCGTCTGCTCTCAGACGCTCGGACTTAACCTTTCTAGAAAAGTCGGTACGTGCTGGCTAGGTATTCCTAACGGGAATTAGGACGAACCACATTGATATGTCTTCGAAATAATTTCCGACCAATTGTATTAAGTTTGATTAAAAATTTAATGCTGTTAAGAAATGAAAACTTCAAATGCATCTGCGCGATTATATGTTTACAAGTTAGTGTATGTATAGTGACTTTTACCACTCATACACGTTATTTTATACTAAGCGAAATGAATATCATAAGACATAGACTACACTTTACAAAGAATCGAATTTAATATCAGCTAGAAGCTAATTGCATTTTTGCGTTCACCAAGCGTGCAATTTAAATAACTGCTTCCAGAGACAGAAAATATTAAAGGCACAATTATATTTTAATTTTGACCTTAACAATATGGCGATTTTACCCGCTTAAGATGGGTTAATTTTTTTTTAAATATTCCCAAAAACGGATGTATTTCAATTTAAACGTGCTAATCTCTTCACTTAAGATTGAACATTAAAACATGTAGAAAAAGTACGAAAAGATTGTCGCCGCTGTGGAAATCAAACCCACGTCTTCGGCATTCGCGGCCTGACGCCACTGAGCTAAACGGTTGATAGCCATAGCGACGAAAATCGTAACGCCTTCCTTCTACATTGTTGTTTTTTAGCATTAGAAGCAACGCTAGGCGCATCTATTGTTATATCCTTTCCAGCATATAAACAATTTCGAATATCGTTTTACAACGATAATTCGAACGAGAGATGTCGCCATTGCTTTTTATAAATTTTTAAAGTTTTTTTATAACGCTAATCTCTGCACTTAAGATTGAACGAAACGAGGCCGAAGACGTGGGTTCGATTCCCACAGCGGCGACAATCTTTTCGTACTTTTTCTACATGTTTTAACGTGTCCGGAATTCGATGTGAATATTAGTAGTAGAGGATATACTATGCGAGGCTCACTTAAAAATGATTCACAGAAAAATATATTATAGTCAAAACAATGAACAACAAAAACAATTCTTTTAAAATCCTTTTTCACATACACACCCGTATTATTACGTCGCCAATCCGCATAAAACCATCCATTGGAGCATCCGCACTCAACGTAGATCATAATACCGGGCGACTAGCGCTAAGTGCATAAACCCATTCCAGCCGCAGACAGCGCCCGGCGAAAGCGCGCTAAAAAGACCTAATTTCGTATTTGGAACGCGACGCCCGCGAACCGGCGACTCCGGGGGGCATTAATCAAAATTAAAACTGGATTAGGCGGGACCGGAACACGCGCGGACTATGGAAAGCGCGCAAATGAGTCAGCGGGGGCTCTAAATGCGTAATTTTTCGACGCATACGTCGTCCGTTTTCCTTGCGACGTCATTTCAAATTCGTCGTTCATTTTCTTACTTCTAAACTTATTTTTATAGGCACAATTTTGTTAAAAATACATTATATTGCCAAATTATTAACTAGCGAAAGTTGTATTTATTTAATTTATAAAAGGGTCAGAAGACCGGTCAGTGAGAAAGACTTTGTTGTATTTATAAACGAGTAACAGTGGAGAAAATCAATGTGAGAAAAATTGCATATAGTGGATGCATAAATGATTACTGGAAGTCGTTGAAGGTCCTACGTTTAGTAGTGCACTATGTATAAAAAGGCGTTTGTGGGAGAGACACGCAGCATCTTCTGATGTTCCTTTAATGTCTCGACCGGGTGATTACCACGGCCTCCCAAAAGACGGGCGACCAAAATGTAAATTTAATAGCGGCCGTCTCCGGCTTCTCGTTCGAGATTCGAAAATTGGTTGCGTTGTTTCGGCTACGAATGATCATTTGTCACGTAAGATTATCTAACGATAACCTTTTCAAACAGTAACTAGTTTCTTTTAAATTAAAACGCCTGTAATGATTTAAAAAAAAATATTTAAGAGAAAAAACTAAGCGAATCCGAAACGCGGTTTTAATGGCGCCCCGTTCGAAATTCAAAAATTTGCCTCGCTGTTTCGACGGCGGTCGGGTCATCATTCATAACATTCCCGCGCGTTCGTGGCTCGAGCCGAGCAATACGCAGCCGAGCGGTTCGCGTGTATTGCGGCCGTATTGTTCTTACCCACCTGCCCACCTTTGCCGCGGGCGTAATGGGCGGTTCGCTCGCGCTCGCAATCAACCAGCAGCGCCGGTGGCGGCCTCTGTTCGAAATTCGAATGGAAATCGCTTCCAATTGAAATCCGCTAAAAGAATCTTTTTTTATACCTATTCAAATTTGGAACGTTTTAAATTTATCACGACACATTCCATATAGTTTGATTAACCAAATGGATATAGGTTATACAATACAGATTAACAAATTGTAAAATTCGAAATGGATTATTAATTAATTATTGTACAGCAAGTTTTATATTTTAGGATGAATTTACATAGTTTAATTTATTATCAATAATAGTAATTATAAATAAAATAATTTTTTTCACATTTTTACACAACATTTTCTAGTCAAACTAAGCAACGCTTGTACTATAGGTACTACAAAACTGATAAACATACTTAAATATACTTTTTTTTTTGTAAATAAATTCATATTATACATATATAAACACCCAGACACTAGAAAAACCTCCTCACCCTCTGGCGCAGGAGGCAGGTACAATACCCACTACGCCATTCGGGTCGTCAAATTTATATATATATAATTATAAAGAGAAAAGTAATCACAACAGTAATCATTTATTGGTTTTGAGACTCCATTTGAAAAATACGACACCAACCTTTATATAAATATATAAAAGCGTGATAAAAGTAACATGGAGGTAATAAGCGAAACAGATCGTTCACGCAGATTATCACTCCTGTAATAAATATGGTATCCAAATCTTGCAATCGGGATGACCGATACTGCGACTTCTTGTCATATACTTTTTTTATTCAGAGGTGGCAAGCGAGGCTGATGATAAGTGATTACCGTCGCCTACGTAATTATCACCAGTGGTTTTGACAGCCTTTGAAGGCAAAAACAAAATACTCGTTTATATCACGGTGGGGTAACTTTCAGATATAAACGCAAGCAGTCGCCATTGTGTTTTCTATTAGGGATCCGATCCAAACTAGAGAGTGTAACGATAAACACGCGCTCCCCCAAAATGGAGAAGCGTGACTTTCGATCTTAATTAATCATGTTCCTAAACCTAACGGCCTCATGGCCTGACGCGGCACCTCAAATGCCATCTACTCCGGTCACGGGATTTTCGCCCTTTTAGCTTTTAGCATATGCGCTATATCAGCAAACGGCCTCTCTTTGTGACTCATACGGCTTCCATCGGGCTAACGCGCGTCTGAATTTTACGATGTGTCGCTTCGGAACGATCGACTTTTTAAAAAACATATGCATATAAGCTTTATATACCTACCATAGATTAAAGCAAAGTGCATATTACATAATGTGAAATATGTACAATCAGGAGAAAACAATTTTGAACAGACTAGCTTCGTAATATGACGCTGAATGTATGTTGATCGCGTTTATGCGCGGTTCGCGAAATTGTTACCGCCTGTACTAGCTTCTCAGCTTGTAAGAGAAGGTAAGCCTGAATATTTGAGGTGTCTGTGATGTCGATACTACAAACGCTACAGTTTCCCGCCAATGCATCGAAAGTGTCAATGACCTTGCTCGCGTGAGCAAACCTCCTATCGTGATATGACATGTCTGCCTCGCAGCTAAACCCATTGTCATGAAAATGACTGTTTCGCGACGCACGGCAGCGTATGTGGCGAGTCGCCTTAAGCGCACAGAGTATTTCTCGGTTATGTGCTCTTGGTAATGCACCACGTTTAGGGTGCGAGCGGTAATTTGTCTGTAACATTTTTAAAATAAAAAAACAATAATGTTCATCAGTATCAGGTACTGGCGACCTTTTCTTTTTTTTATTTTTTTTCCGTGGGAAAAATCCTTTATGGATCCCCTGCCACTGGATCGGGGGGGTGTCAGGGGCGTGTGGGAGTCCCGGTGAGAAACGGGTACCCACTAAAAACCCTCGTTGGACCTGTCCTTGCCGGTGCAATTGGCACAGCACACGTCACGAGCCCCATATTGAGCGACAGACACCCCATGTCTGCCGCTCAGGGTCTCACTAACAGGGGGGAAGGTTGCGCGCGTAGGCCAGCCTCCTGCGCCTTGGTGTCCTGCGGTGGATTCCCAGGGTGGCAGTTGCCTCCCTTAATCTAGGTGATAGGGTGATAACGTCCTCGCAATATGGGAGGACAGCACCTCACGCTTTCTCGCTGTCACCCACGAACCACGGCTGGCAGCGAGAGGTCGTGCCCCACGATATCGCATAGCTAGGTACAAGCGACCTGCCCCGGTTACCTGAGAAAAAAAATTGTTGATAACAACGAAACTTCACAGCATCACCCGCTGGGCTAATTTGTTGAAGATTGCCTGTGAATCTCATCAAAAACCGTCCATCCGTTTAGGACCCGGTAAGCACATACATACTCACCTACATTGGGAAACTCAAAATTCGCAATAACTTGTAGTTAAATATTTCCCAAAACCAAAAAAATATTTCTCTGTTCGCTTGATACGCGTTTGTACATTTAATAGTGTTAGTTCTGTGTTTGTAAAAATATAAGATTCTTTGGAGGGTTGATACAGAAATTGTGGAGAAGAATTAAAAAGAGGCAACAAAATGCTATCCGGGTGTTAACATCGATAAACGACCTTACTAAATCACCGCGTTAAAACTCAACGCTTTAATAAGATCGACGGCATTACGCGCATCGCTCCACGCTACTAACACGTGCGCGCGGGGGCCGTCAAATTGATAACTTGATAACGCCCGACCCTCGGGAGCGATCCCGCGATCCAGCCGCCGGCCGATCCCGCGATCCCACAATCCCGCGATAACGCAATCCCGCCCCTCAATCCCGGCCGGGGGTTACGTAGAAGCGACTCGCGATGCTTCCCGCGCCATCTGTTATTCCATGCAAATTCAAATCCCGCGCCGAATGGAACGATAACAGCTGATCCGGACCGTGGGCCGGTTTTTTCGCGCACTGTGGACTCACTTACGTAATGACCGCTTCTAATACGGCCCTGTACAAATATTAGCGGCGAGCATGTACATTCCGAACGATTATAATTATGAATTCGTTGGTGAATGAAATCTGGCGTCCCTTGCTGTTTATATAATACGGACGACACAAAACAAGAAATGCAAATTATAATTCCTACGTTAATAGTTTTTATTTTCAATACGAGAAAGTGGCAAACGGGCTGGCCGTTCACCTGATGTCAAGTGATACCCGCCGCCCGACATTTGCACGCCGGTCTTCTGTGAGGTCGTGGTACTTACCCAGACGGACCTGCCCATTCATGCAACAGCGAAAGCTGTTGCGAGCCCCTACCACAGTTAAAAAGTAAAGTATGGATAATTATTTCTTATAACTTATATAGGTAGTAGTGTAGTAATAGTGGTACCGGAGGGTGTACTTGCGCGTTTTTAAGATTACCTTAAGTCCTTTTAAAACTAGCAGTAAAATTCTTATAGCAGGACTATTACACATGAATACGGGTTGTAATTTCGAACCTTAACGCCCGACGTTTCTAATAAATTGAAGCTTCAAAGGTTTATGTCGAACTTTTAATCATTTAATCTTGGGAGTCGAAAGTTCATCGTCATAATAAAATGTAATATGTAAAATGTAATGTAAACTCAAAATAAAATGTTCAATTATGAACGGTTTTTCACGTACTTTCCTAAGGAAAAATACGAGGATTACGAAATATTATTAAACATTCATTGTTATATCACAAACTTATAATAAATACATTCAAGTTTAAATTAATTTAAGTGGTTATTTGTTGCAAGGGGATTATATTTTATTAGCGTGTTATAATCAGATTTGTTTTTTTTTCAAATTCAAACAATATCCAGCTTTAATAGTAATTAAAACTTGAAAAAGAAAATTACTCGGACAATGAAAATCCAGAATTCATTGTTTTCATAGAGAATTTTTATCTGAAATTTTAAACGGGAATTTTCAAAATAACACGAGAATCAGCTATAGGTACCAGGGTATAAGGAGCCCGTCAAACGGAATATTTCATAAGCGCGGCCTATCGCAACCCGAAACCCTCGGCAAACGTGACGGCTCCAAAGAGGCCCGCAGGCAAATTCACACCCCAATTAGCGACGGCGCGGGGCTGGGCCCCGGGTACTTTGCCACCCCAACCCCTGGGTTTCACGAGCGGCGGACGGCATAAACGAACCCCCAACTATTTGCTTTTTGTTTTCCGCTTTTTGTTCCCGAAGTACCAGGGGCACAGTGCTGCGGGGAGTTCGATTAAATATTTATCGGCGTTTATGGCTGTTGACCGCCCGTGGTACCAAGATTTTATGCGCTCCTTATGTATCGCCCCAAACCAATTAATTGGTTTAAAAGAAATATTTAGCCAATTTGTGTGGAAAATTATGTGTGGCTTTTGTAACCTAGACAAGGTATGCTTGATGTAGCGACTACATTACTGGTTAATATATTCCACTGTATTAAACGCAGGTGCGATCTATTAGGTAGTTGGAATTTGTAAATCGGCTGTAATGATGTTGAAAGATACAATAACAATCACGAATTGATAAAAAAAAATTGTTTGGTGTTTGACATTCGCACAATGGGACGCTTTACGCTTGAAAAAAATATATAATTCTTCGTGCTGTAGTTGCCCAGTGCGCGCGGAGATCCATTAAAAATCTACTAGCCAACGTTCTTAGGAATTTAACTCTTTCGCACTTGTGGGAAGAACAAGATAAAATAAAGACTTCGATATAAATGCTTTTAAAAAAATACGAAACTGAAGTTCGAATCACCTCACGACCAAATCATGCGTTTTCGTTTCGCCCAAAAAATAGGCTGAATATAGCTTGGCCGAAAATGACCACTTACGGTTTAAAGAAGTTTATTTCTAATAAAAATTAAAACAGTTTGTTTAAAATAAGATTTGAATTTAAATTTCATTATCAAATATTGTGTTTACACTTCTGGCACATGCATTTTTAAATAATATTAAAATTAGGTAGTATTAAATATTTTTTTTACAATATAATACTACGGTGTAAAGTGGAAGTATGACAAATACTTTCGCGTTTCGTCTGGTGAGTGAGGTAGCCGGAGCCCAATTTTCAAAAGGTTGTCAACGCATCTGTAACCCTCGAGTGTAGCAGATGTCCATGGGCGGCGGTATTCACTTAACATCAGGTGAACCGTCTGCTCGTTTGACAACTTTTCGCATAAAAAAAAAAAAAAAAAATAGTGGAATAATTTTTTTTCTTCATATTACACTTTAACCAAAGAAAAATTTATTGAAGGCTATTTTAACAAGGGAGGCTAATAAGCAAATTTTGACGGTCTAAAATCATTCGAAACGTCATCATTGCAAAATGAGGTCCGCCGAAAAGTGCACCGCATGGCCAGACGCTACAGTCGTTTGAATAACGTGTTTCTTAAATGTAAAAATTCAATCGTTCTATCACCATACCTTTGGAAAAATAATCATTCGGTTTTTAGGGTTCCGTACCTAAAGGGTAAAACCGGACCCCCTTACTAAGACTCCACTGTCTGTTTGTTTGTCTGTATGTCTGCCCGTCTGTCGCCAGGCTCTATCACATGAACCGTGATAGTTGGACGTTTTCACAGATGATGTATTTCGCTGCTATAAAGACAGATACTAAAAAACAGAATGAAAAATATTCAAGTGGGGCTCGCATACAACAGACATAATTTTGTGCCTTTTTATAGATAATGGTACGGAATCCTTCGTGCCCGAGTCCGACTCGTACTTGACCGGGTTTTTTACCCTCGATCCAAATTCAAAAAGTAATATGGTCAGTACGGATAAGAGTATCGATTTCTTTGAAAGACGTTCTTTACCTCGTTCTTTGTGACCAAAAAGAAAGACTACAAATTCTGTAGCTGCTCAGTTCTAATAAAATACCCGAAAACATTCACTTTTTCGTGGTCACAGTAAGTTTAGATTTTCGTGGACGAGTGGTATATAATCTGAATGATCTAGATAAAGTTTCATACAATGAGCGTTATTTATTGCATTTCATTTTATTGGTGCCACGTCAGGAGTTGGGCGGGTTAGCCCGTGATAATGCGTGAATATATGAATCGCATAATAAAAATGCATTTAAAATCGTTGAATTTAACGTACCTACACCTAACACATCGCAAATATAGCTTCTCGTATTCCGTGCATCACTCTACGGTTCTATCTCAATCCTAGATCTGAACACGTTAGAAACGGGGCGACTTCAAGCGAAACTTCGTCCCAATTTCCCGCCGCACTCCCAAGTAGTGGCGGCTCGTGCCGCAACTAATACAAATGCGAATGACACTCGCACGGGCCGCGCAAAGAGCGAGCCCGCCATTATGAATTCCGGCTTTATCCGCCGCCAGCTATTGCCCGGGCGACGCAACCACAGATTAAACAGACACGAGCGAACCGGCAAAGGAATCAACGCGAGCACCTCAGCGCTCAGTGCGGGTGTGACCTAAATCGGATTTATCTCTTTAAAAGCGAACGCGACCGACGAGAGAACGATAAAAAATAAGCGTTCTTTTTCCGAACGCATCGCATTGACGATCATGGCGGAAAAAAGCGGCTGTCAGACTTCTCTTCAATACAGTTATTATAGATGTATAACATATATAGAATCACTGAGAATATAAACGGTAGGTTTCGGAAGCATTACTTGTCTCGTAGCTTGCTACCGAAGGGGCAATGTAGAAAATTGTGCGTAAAACAATTTGTAGAAACGGCGGCAGTGACAATGTAGGGAAGTCCGCATTTTTAGAATTCTCCATTTTGTTCTGCGTTCAACGAATTGTTGTGTTCAGGTTTTGTGGCGTTTATTCCGCTTCCGAGAAAGACTTTTTTTTGGACTTATATGTAATATTTTAAAATAAAAAAATAGCTCTATCTAATCTAAAGATTAGTAGAGCACTTAATCTAACTAAAGAATAATTCTCACCAGCCAATTTAAACGCTATTCACTCCTGTCTTGAAGAGGATCACATTGTATTCGGACGGAAAATCTGACGGAAGCAAATTATCCACTCCTTTGTTGCAGGCACTACGCATCGAACAATGCGTAGCGTTCGCGTAAATAAAAGAAATCATTTCAATAAGAATGGGAGGCGTGGAAGTTCAAGTTGCCATATAATAATAAAAAGAACACATTGTTAAATAAAACATAACTTTAAGTTTCGAACACTATATCATCCAAGATCGGTATACAGTATTCTTACTTCTTTTGCTGAGTAAGGTAACCGACATCCACCGTCCACACTACGGACGATGATGGTCATATGCGATGTTAGTTAACATCAGTTAAACCGTCTAATCGTTTGCAATCACTATATGTATATAAATCGTGTAACAATTTAAAAAGAAGAAAATTTAATGGTGTAAGAATTTATTTTAAAATAATGGATAATATCAGCTTCAGTATTGCTCCGAATCAGAAAGAGCCTCGGAAATGTATTAGCGACCATATTCATATTTATAGATATGTATCAGCAATTTGCCATCTGCCATATTTGAATCTTCAAAATCACAGTATATAGTAGAAGGACAGTCTATACCGATCAACCCTGTCAAGTGTTATATTTTTTTCCAAACTGAGATAGGTTTCAGCAGAATTCGACTTATGCTTATTCGTGTGTCGGGAAAAAAACTTTTGACGCGCCGTTCCGGCCATACACGAATGCGCGCGCCTTTCGATAATTAACGTTCTAAATTTATCGGATTTCGAGCGGCGCGGCGCGCTCGGCGGGCTGCCGTCGGCACGTTCGCCGCTTACGTCGCACGTTTACGATGCAGCCGATAACGTTTACGAGGCGCGCTGAGTGGCGTCGCCGCGGCTCGCCCCGGCTGATTGCGTGCTAGGGTAGCGCGTGAATAGTGACGGGGCTCCAGAAAATTATATTATTTTACAATTATCGATGTTTAAATTCTACCGAAAATTAAGAAATTCAAAACTAATGAGATTGGTTACATTAATGAAGAAACGATATGACTATACAAAGATTGTTACAAAGAAATTGATTTAAGTGCTAAGGCTGCTTAATGAGACTTTTAATTGCATTAACTTATTTACTGTGATATTACACATTTATTGTGTTAATTAGAAATTTAATTCAATTAAATTTCAGTTTTTGACACAAGAAGAAAGTAATTTTACTCTAAGAAACAACTACATTCTTGTTTTAGTTTCATTAAGAGCTTAAGCCGGTCCAGAAAATGTACAACAAAATTACTAAGAGTTAACTGCTTACTATAAAACGTATATTCAACAACAATTACGAGCGACAAAACGAGACGAGCAAATTATATCGATATCGAAATATTTTTTTTTGTGTCACTTCACTAGCGGGGTCGCGTATCCGTGACACGTCGTAGAGCCGTCGACATCGCGCCGTATTTCATGCGCCCCGCCGCGCCGAGCCCGCTCTCGAAATACTCGCCCGGTGTAGCCATACCAGATTTTCGTCCCGGATTTTTGGCGAACGCCGCGAGTGCTTTGTCTTCTTTGTAATTTTTTAACTGCACGGATAGCACCAGCGTTTGAGTGGTTTGCCCAATGCATAGCGTCGTCTTGAGGGTTCTTTCCCCATGCGAGTTTGTAATTTTATTTGTAAAATCCACCGTAACATCAAACCATTATTATATAAAATTACAAAGGTTTATTCCTTTGCATTGTATACACACAGTGGCTACTTTAATCGTCTCGCGGTCACAAATTCGACATACAACGTTAGTTTTCGTTTGGTCACTAGTAAACGTGTTAATTCATTTGGTTTTCTATAATTTTAAAATTTAATACGCGTAATTTTTTAATCCATACCCAATATGGAAAGCACAAACAGAAATATACAAAAGACCGTTACTTACAGAAGGAAATTTATAATATAAATATTTATTATTTGTTTTTTTAACGATACGTAATATTATACAATTTTTATCGATTCGAAATTTTAGGATAAACGCATGGCAACCCAGCGCGAAATAATGAGCGCGGCCTTTGGCAAAATTAAGTATTAACGAGCGGGGACGTTCCAAATTTAAAAACCGCTGAGGGGCGCCAGCGAGTCGATCAAAGTTGCATTGATGCTATTATGTTATTGGCCGTTGGTCGTCGGTTCGATTCCACCCGGGACAAGTATTTGTTAGACCTACATATTGTTCCATACGTGTTTTGTCAGTGTTTACTTTTATGCAGCTACAACATAAGGTTATCCTAAACAGAGTATAATATATTATTTATTTTTATTTTATAGTATGAATTTTTAAAAAAATCGTAAATTAGTACTGGTACACATGTGGTTAATGTTTAATACATTCAATATTAAGGATATACTGTATCCAGTTCTTCGAAGCATCAAGATATGCAGGTCACAGAATCCTTGTAAAGTTAAGACATTTTATTCGGATTGCATTGAACCTTCCCTTAACCTATACGGTATTAAAGTACGAGTCGGTATTAAAGTACGAGTTTACGCATACATATGGTAAAACTGTTCGTGTGTACTTAATTGAGAAACTCTTATTCGATTCATACTTTTTCCTGGGTCACGAATGGATGTCATCTCACACGAATGGGTGTTAGAAAACATTCGATGACTCCGTGGCGTAGTTGCCAAGGTATTGGCTTCGGCGTCGAGGGTCGTGGGTTCGATTCCAACTATTTGTGTTACCCACAGATAGTTGTTTCGCATCTGGGTGTTTGTCCGCGTGAAGTTTATGTTTGTAAAACGTCCTTACAACACAGGATAATGCTATCCTAAAGTAAGGGCGATGTTTAAAAAAAATTCGGTTAAAAATTCCGGTACCAAATCTCGGTCCGATTCTATGCTAATTTTGTTATTCAATAGGACCACACCCCACTAAATGGAGTGACGACCTGTGCACATGTGGGAAGTCGACGGATGCAGGTGGCTCAGGATTGTGCTTCGTCGTCTGTGGTCAACGTTCGACAGTGGACTAAAACAGACAGAAAAGATGATTGTCTTGTGTCTTGTGAAAATTTACCAAAATGAAATCGACACAGCAGTTCGATATTTTTATAGACAGGTCTAATATATTTTTATTATATTATTAATTGTAGGTAGAGGTTGTAGGTAGAGGTGGTAGGTAGAGGAAGAAGACTTCAACAAGAGCGCAGAACAGGCCTAAGCGGAGTGACCAACTCTCGACCGACTTCGAATCAGCTCTAGAAACTTCGAAAATGCAATACCGAATCACGTCCGAACGTATTGATCTTTAGTCTTTATTAATTTTGCTTTTGATGCTTGTAGACATCGTTTATAGTTCAATAACTGATAAATAATTAAATTAACTTCGCTTTTGATTTGCTAGGGCCCGGCGTCTGCCATTGTTAGGTATTGCCGAAGAATTATAACACTTCCACCTGACGCCGGTCTTCAGTGTAAGTCTAATTTCATTAGAAATGAACAACGAAATGTCATGTTGTGAAGTGATGATTTTGAGTTGATTATTATACCCGCAGAGCCCGAACCGAGAGGTTGTCTTGTTTAATCCATTTGCATCCTCATAAACTACGTTCCTTTTCTGGGATAAAAAACTATTATCTCCTTTATCTGTGAGGTCGTATTACTTACCCGGGCGGACCTGCCCTTTCATGCAACAGGGAAGACTGTTGTTTGGTCCTACCATAGTTATTACAAGTAGGGCTAATAATATTTGAATAACCCTTACTTCCTTACTAATATTATAAAGGCGAAAGTTTATATGTATGGATGGATGTTTTTTACTCTTTCACGCAAATACTACTGAATGGATTTTAATGAAACTTAACAATAATATAGCTTATAGATAAGAATAAGACATATACTATAATTTATATACATATGTTTATGTATATCTGTCTTTCTGTCTGAATGATAGGCCTTTTCTACGCAGACGTAGTTGGGGGCTGCAGCTAGTAATAATTCTACAGGGCAAAGAAAAATAGACGCATTTAGTCCAAGAATATTACTCAAGTGATCTATGTTCAAATCCCGGTGTCATTAAGTCATGTCATGTAATGTCATGCTTACATTCGAGATTCAAGGTTGTTACTCTCCCAATCCGCAGTGGGTCGCAATGGGCTAACGGCACTATGCAATGGGACATTACATAGGCTCTTTACTTTGGTTTAGGCCAAGCAACAGTCTCCGCTGTTGCACTAATGCGCGGTTCGGTAAGAATACCGGCGTGCAGTACTAGTGTTACACTTCTGCGTTTCGTCTGGTGAGTGAGGTCACCAGGGCCCATTATATTAAATGGTGGCATTGCATCTGCAACCCTGCCATCCGATCCAATCAGCCTTTTGCAGTCTGCTGGACATAAGCCTCCCCAAGGGCAACCCTACGGGTGCTACAAATGTCAACGGCCGACGCTTATTAGAGACATCAGACGAACTGCCGGCTCGCTAACTCACATAAATAGAATCAGTGACAAAGTCACGGTCATCCAACTCCAAATAGCCAAGTCTGAATGCCCGTAACTGTTATAAGCGAACCATATACCTATTCGGGATGGTCGCAACTACCGTGCCAAACCCCACGGGTGTCGCGGGCATGCCACCGTCATGCAATAAACAAAAGTTCCGAGTAATCTGTATTGTGATGAGGTCGAAGCGCCCACGCCAGTCTCGACAGATATCGCGGAGTGGCTGTTGAAACGTCAAACCGAGATGCGGGGGCGCTGTTTTGGGACAGAGTAGCGGGCCTCACCGCCTTACCTGCCTACGTAACGAACTCTGCACTCAATATCAAGATGCTCGGGTGGCCCTGGCAGCGAGGCCGCGCGGGACGTCCTGATAATTCGTTAATATCCACTATACAAACTATACAAGAACTAATGGATAGTGTACCATACACTATCCATTACTTCTTGTAGTTTTTAAGTGGCTCAAAATTTGACCAAACTTAATTGAACTGAGAAGTATACGCCTTCTTTTTTGAGAGAGAGAGAGGATTTTTTGTTGTTGCACATGCGCTACCAACGTTAAAAACTGTGGATCCCGCTTACCTCATTCAATAGAGGCAAGGAAACACTACTACTATGTAATAATTCAAAAAGCAATAAAGCCATACAGACTAGTAAGTGCTGCTTAAAAGATAGCAACAACAATCTCATTGAAAAAAAAAAGCATGAAATTTAGACCTGTTTACGGACTGACGATATTATTTAATATACGCCGGTCAAAGAGTTCCTTTCCAACGAGTCAGTCACCACAAAATACAAAATACACAGAAGACCGGCGTCAAGTGGAAGCATAATAATACTTTCGGGTTTCGTCCGGTGAGTGAGGTAGCCGGAGCCCAATTTTCAAAAAGGTTGTCTGCAAACCCTCGGGGGTAGCAGATGTCCATGGGCGGTATTCACTTAACATCAGGTGAACCGTCTGCTCGCTTTACAACTTTTCACATAAAAAAATACCCCAAAAATTTTATCCTTAAAAAGCGCGTAGCATGGCGACAGTACCAGGCGCGCATACGTACGTAGATATAGACACGTTTGCACGGCTCGTGGCGGGCGGCAGCGTCGGATGTATAAAGTGGCGCGCCGGTGGCCGCATCACATAGCTATAGCTCGCGGTAGCGTGACAAACTGCGCGGGCTGGCGCGGAGTCGCCCGTGTTGCTTTTTCTTTTTTTTTTTGTGCTTTGGTCTTTCCTTTTTCACCGTTGACGGATCTCCGCCGCCGGTTCTTTACGGTTCGGACGCGGGTCGGTTTTTGTTGGCTGATTCCGATTGATATAACTAAAGTTGTTTCTGTTTTTTTGATATATTGTTGTCGTTGGTTTTTAAAGTCGCCGCGGGCCATGAGATGATAAATACACTAAGTGATTTCTTTAAACCTAACGGGTAGACGGAATCAGTCGTTCTGAGCTTAATAAGCTCAAAAACATATCTGACCGAATTATTAATAACGCATTTCATCAATGTCAAAATATATTCCTGTGGATTCCGTTTTTATCAACAACGTAAAACACTCTACTGATTATTTAATTGAATAAAAAATATACAATAAGAAAAAAGTTTGTCTACTTTAAAATTACAAATGGCTTTAATAAACGTGGGTGCCCCATCCTATTGAAATGTACGCGAAACGGTACATCATTAAGATAATGATGTGAAAAAAAAAATAGTAAACAAAATAAAGAACAAAACATTTAAGTCCCACGCGACTCCATCCACGTCTATCATCCCACTCGACACCGGAGGGCGTCGTCGCTAAAGCGCGATACTACGGGCTCGCCTCGGGCGGCGCGAACCAATTACCCGCCGCCGCCGCGCGGGCATTTACCCCCCCGCCCCTCCGCCGCCCCACCGTGCCCCCCTCCGTCGCCCACCCGTCGCGGCGGAATTACTTATCTCCAGCGCGCCGCTGTCAGCCCGGTACTCCGCCGCCCGCAATGCGAATGCGGCCCGGCTTTTTGTGCGCCGGCTCTTCCGCACCCGACCGAGCCGTCCGCTTAAAACGGACCAACGACCCACCCGCGCCCGACTTTATCGGGGCTTCGAAATTCGAATAGTTTGTGATACGCGAGCGTGATTTCGGGGTGAACTTTGAAAATGGAACGCGCTAATTTCGATGTACGCGTGACGATGCGTTCGATCGATTGTTTTTTTTTTATGAACGTCTAAATGTTATTGGTAAATTAAAAATTGAATTAGCCCTTGGTCGATCGGTTATTGCTTTTTTTAAGAACATCGGAATATTTTTGGCAGAAAAAAAAGTTTATAAAACGACTCGTTGAAGATTTACATATACGTCATCATTTTTCGAATTTAGAACTTAACTAAGTAGTTTGGTTCTAAATGCGAAAAAATTACAGCCAGTGCTGTAATCTACTTATAAAATATATTCTTTTAAGTTGTACTAGATTTGAAATTTATTCCACTGCGAAATGTCTAAACGGGGCAGAGAAGTGCCACGTAATACCAACTCGCCGAATTTTCTCCCTTCTACAAAGCCCCACTACGGCGTTCAAACCAATAATTATCCGCTCCCGCCGTATCTCCCGAACTCGACAAAGACGTCAACTTTGAGAACTCTTGGGACCGCTCACTGAACCCAAGTTTGTTTCGAGGGAGATATGAATACTTTGAGATGCGACTTTGCTTTTGGTTCAATCGTTCCCTAACGGTTACGCAACAAACCAGACGTTGCCGCGAGCTGGTTGGGAAATGTGGTGTTTTCATAAAATTAACTCTGTCATAATAATTATAATTTGTAAAACAACGTTTAAATTACCACGTATACATATTTCGAATACAAACGTGGCGATTTGGAATCGATGCTCAATGATGTTCAAATTATATTTTTTAAAGTATTATTAAAATAATCTTATAAGAAGCATTATTAAAGTAGGGTTTTTCACAACTATGATTTACGCTGTTGTGGTTAGATTACTGATTTTAAGTTTTAATTTTTTAAAAATAAAATATATAGATAATATTAAAGAAATCCTATCTCAAATTGAAAGACCATTCATGATCAATCATCGATCGTCATTAATGATGTTCATCACACTACTACAAGATTCTGGTAAGGAATACAATCTGGTATTGAATACGATAATTTGATATGATTTTACATTTCTTTGAGAGATTTGATCTAGTTGTGAATAACACAACTAGATAAAAAAACTCAAAGAAATGTCTCTTTAGTTTTTATTACAACGCCAATGATGCGCCTGTATCCCATCACCTGAATGATACAGCCGGGACAACAGACAACAGACACTGGCTTTCATATATAATGACTTTCAATGACCAGGGAAATTAATGAAATGAATGAGTGATGTTTGATTGGTACACTCGGTTACCACTGGCCTGGAATATAAAACCAAATGCCGGTACTGGATTTATATAAAAAAAATCTCCCACGACTTTTGTTAAAGCGCACCTAGCGCTCTTAAGTACTGAGGCAACAAAAGTTGAGCCGTTTGGAAAACACTTCCCATAGATAGCGACGCCAGGAGACGAGAACTGGCGGAGAGGTGAATATCGATTTTGCGCAATTATTTCCATCCGTTCTCGGAATAATCATTAATTGGGCGCCTGCCAATGAGCAATTAATTCGAGGCAGCCAGCGTCAAAACAGATGAGTTGTTTGAAGGTTGCGTTTACCTTTAGCAGAAGTCGAGCGGTACAATAATAAATCGGAGTAGCCCGTACACATAACACGATTCGGACGAATAATGAAATCGAGAGATACAATGACCAACGCATTGTCACCGAGGTACGTCGGTGTACCTGATATGAAATGTTTGGGCGTGGAAATTAGAATAATGACAATTGCAGTAATGAAACTTCAATTATCACTTCTGTCATTAAATTTTCCCATTTGCAATGTCGAGTCTTAAATACTTAATAATTATGCTTAATACAATCCTGGGAAGTCCTTTTTCTTAGTGCAACCTCGATTCGAAATCAAAAGTATATTCCGAACTTCTAGTGTGTGGGTGTTAGTCAAGAAAGACGCATCTTGACAGCGCATCTTTCACATGCTGCACAATTCCGAAATCCGGTTTATTATACGGTCTTTATAGCATTCGTTAAAACATACTTCGATATACCTACGCATAAAAAAACGGAATTATTGACACCACAGTTTCAGCAATAACTAGGTAACGAGCATTATTAAAGGAATATTAACGAAATACAGTAAGTAGCCATTGAAGGAACTGGCCGAAAATGAAAATGACAAAAAAAAACATAAACTCGAGATCGAAAAAAAAAAAGAACGCGGTGAAATAAATGCCTCGGCGGCAAGGCGTACGAGCGGTCGGGGCGGTCGGTCGTATCGCATAGTATTCCCCACGCCACGTCGTTCCGGGCGGCATATCCATATTTTTTCGCCGCGCCTTTGCGATGTCGCGGCCGCCATTGCCCGCCGCGCCGTTTCCCGCCATTCGCTCCGTAATTTACGAGCGACGCGGCCCGAGCCGACCGCTCGTCGGGAGCGGCCCGGGACCGATTTATGGCGCAATTCCCACAATGGCGGACCGCGCGGCGCTCGGACTAAGTCCCGTCGCGTCCGAAATCGGACTTGTGTCGGCAAAGGCCGCGGGCCGACGCGACGCGGTCGAGTTTCTTCGCTCGTTTAATTAACGACGTCCGCTTAGTCGTCCCGTTGGGACGCATTTGGCGGTCGACTTGCTACGCGAACGTTTTAATTGATTCGGACTCTTCGCCTTTTGCGGCGCGTGCATTGCGTATAGCCGCTTCGATAAAAACGCAATTTAATAGTTTCGTTTCGAAACGTTTTATGAATAACTAGCGACCCGCCCCGACTTCGCGCGGGTGCAATGTATTAGACATATAATCCTTCCTCTTTAATCACTCTATCTATTAAAAAACCGCATCAAGATCCGTTGCGTAGTTTTAAAGATCTAAGCATACATAGGGACAGACAGACAGCGGGACGACTTTGTTTTATACTATGTAGTGATACTTTGGCGCAGTTCAATCGCCGTATAAGATTTTCGTTCTGCTGCTTTATGTAATGTCATTAGGCAATATTCACATTTGAACATTTCCACTACCTACGCAAAATAAAGCGGACGGACTTTACATTTTCCCGCGCGTAACATTTGCATTTCCAGTCTGGATTTCTGACAGTACGGCTCGAAAGCGGCGTGCGATATATTTTTTTCCGCCCCCCGGCCGCGAGCGAGACGCGTGCTCGTCGCGAGAGATGACGCGAAATAATTTAATTGCGACGAGCGGAGCAGCCCGGCGTTTATTTCCACGCGCGGCGCCGCGGTGTTCGGATTATCGGCCGTAATTAGAACGTTGTTTTTCTTTTTTAGTTTATTATTTTTTTTTTTGAAGTTGCCCTTCTTTTGACGCGTTTGGAAAAATATATACAAATTAGCTAAAAAACTGACACGATGAAGTTAGTTGTAAAGCGAACAACTTCGAATAACTTCACGGTATTACAATGGCAACCGATAACAACCTTTTGTCATTTCTCTGGATTACCAAGTTAATTTAATTAAATCATCATCAATTTTATTTAAATTTTTTCCACAAACAGAGAGTACTGGCACACAGGATAAAATTTATAGTTATTTTTCTTTTGTTAAGATAAAGAAGTATAACTTCTTCCGTTCGTAAGTAAGTGCAGATGCAGACACGTTTTTTTAACTATTTTAGCGTTCTATTTCAAATTGCAGTTTTGCTATTTTTTTAAAAAGTCACTTTTCTTACTTAAACAACAAATAAATAAATATTAGCGTACATTAAATATTAATACATAACTTTTCCAAAAATACTTACACTAAATGGAGACATGCGGTTATAAGGAATTACTAAATTATGCTAATCACATATACATAACGGCCCTGCTGCTACAAGATATGAACATGTACGTCTTATGGAGACCTTTGTCCAGAATTGGGAAATATATCAAATATTCAATGTGAAGGCTCAATGTACCATCTAAAATATCTCTCAATGTACAATGTAAAATTATGTTAGTTTTTACATCCCATAGAAGCATATTTTTGTAAAATTATTAATTATCTAGAATATGTGTATGAACATAATTAAGTTGTGTTCGGTTATTTCAACACTAAGTTTTTTTATTTAATAACTTTAAAATAGTAAATTATAGCACTTTCACACGCTCTATTCTTCCAAGACGGAAGAGGACGAGTAATGAAAAAAAAAATAGAAGCAAAGCTAAATTTCTGATATGCTGCAGATTATAAATGAGTTTACATTAATAGCAATATCAATTTGAACATCCACACGCCATTCGTAGTGTACATACATATAATACAAAACGTATGTACATAATGAAATAAAAGGATAGGTACGGTTATAACAAAAAAACCTTTATGTATCAACTATATTCACAAACCAGTATATTTCTATATTGAACGAGAAACTGCAATTCAAACTTGGAATGTTCAAACGACGCGTTCATTCATAAACACACCGCTCTCTATCTCAACGACAGTTCCGAAATTCTTATTTCCAACCGATAGGCCTCATCCTCGTTTGTCAATTCTAATTTCGAAAAAAGAAAGAAAGAAAAAAAAAAAGAAACGACGCGCGGCGCGGGCGGCCACCGAGTCTAAAGGCAGCGATCGCGCCGTTCCTAGCGGGCAGGTAAAAAGCCAGGGGCGCTCGTTTTAATCAAACGCGGCAGCCGAGCGGGCCGATTGTCCGGTGCCCGACGAATTATACCGGTTCGGTTTTATTAATGCCGGCCGCTCTCGGTCGGCGCGCTCTTGAAATTTTTACGCCCCGCCGCCGGCCGGCCGTGCTCTGTCAGCGTCGAGTGATGGATGGGTGTGCGATCCGGCGCGTTTATGACCGCCTGGTACTTCGTTGAGCGGACGGCGTTCTCTACGGTTCTAAACCGACGGCGAAGAATTAAATATTAAAAAAGCTGGGTCGTGGGTCTTCCAGAGTACATCTTCTTCACAAATGTTAATTATAATACTTTTTTTATGTGAAAAGTTGTAAAACGAGCAGACGATCCACCTGACGTTAAGTGGATTGATTACCTTGACGATGAGTGCTCATGGACATCTGCACATTTTCACCAAATCTATTTTAGACTCGAAATAATTCAGATGTCTGATGATGAGAATCAATTCTTTATTATTATTTAGTTTACAAAAAATATAAAAAATAAATCGGATTGTTACTATCAACATCCAATCTATGTTGGGAGTACGAAGCGTAATATAAAAAAATAGAGTCACTATGTGATACTATAAAAAACAGGGGTGTACTACTGTTTTTTTAAATATTTTTTAACTTTATTTTTCAGAGTTGCAAACGATACCAGCTGTGGATCGAGCCTTGACACGTAAGTGGCGGAATAACGGGAACCTCGCTTAAGGTGGAACGAGGATGCTCCTCGCAAACACGAGTACGTCGACCGGAGATGGCCAGTTAAGAGCGGGAAGAGCCGCACGGGAAACCTAGCGAGGTCGTGACGTCAGACGTGAAAGCTAATGAAGCCGACGCTACGCCAGGGCACACGCTCAAACGGAATGCTTAAAAAATGTTGCAGGGAAATTTTCGCAGCTCCATAAATGGTGAAACGAGTATATGAATTTGACCCAAAATTTCCCCCTTGTAGCCATCGCGCGATTAATTATAAAAACACCTAGGACAATTAGTTAACAGATTAATGAAATCAACAATTATTATCATTATATGTTATGTCATATATAATTTCTTAAATTCTGTTTAACACCGATTTTGTTGCAACATAATAAAACAAACATTAAAAAAAATCCCTGCATTAAAAACCGGCAGCGACGAATCGGAATCGGCCGCAGTCGGAGAGAACTAATCGCCGGGAAATGATCGATATATTCGGTACAAATCACGCGGGCGGCATAATGTGACAGGAGGTGCGAGCGAACGCGGCGGGCCGCTCCGTCGCCGCTTACCGCCCGCTAAGGCCTGGTACACATGCATTATAATGTCATAATTTTAATCTATTCCAATAAGATGCAACCCTAGTAACTCACAATTAGAACGTTAATTATACTAGGTTAATTATTATCGTCAACAGCCTATATTTAGAGAATACAAGTTGAATTGTACGTGGGATGAGTAAGTCATTGTCAAAGTCAATGTATCATTTTCAATATAGGTTTAACTTAAGCTCTTATTTGAACGTCAACAAAAAATCTACCACCGGTTCACTTAACTAGACCTGCACAGAGAAGAACCGGCAAGAAAATCTGTGGTCTTGTTCTTTTTGTTATTTTTTTTATGCAATTATACAACCTTATTTGGGTATAAAATCAGCAGCAACCAGGGGTCTCGCAAGTGCACAGCAAGAGTCATTTCCACACATCCTTGTCCTCAATGTATTCTTGGACTTTATAGTAGTATCTCAGACTTGCTAAGAAGTATTAGCCATTGTTGCTAAACTACTTTGATTAGGCTGTGGCAATCAATCCATCAGAACTGTTTGCTTGTTATATTTTTTTTAAAAATTAACTAAAAGAGCGTGCTTAAATTAACACGTTATCTAATAGGCAAGATGTTCGTGCAAAACGCAGTATGTAAAAAGTTTACTTCACAGGCGACAATAAAACTGATAATTTCGTTAAGTATATTTTATTATTCTATAATATTCATACAGCCCTACCTTTATTCAACATACAGAACTGTCACACACGAACGCCGGAAAGGGTTCGAAACGTGAGGAATTTAAAAATCTAATTAAACGCGATGAAATCCGTAAAATAGCTTCATTCAACAGTGGATACACAAAACATTAAATTCGTGAATAAAATAAAACAGCATGCATCGCTTTTTCTATTTAAAATCTTTACACCATATCGTGCATTTTCTTTATACCATAGCGACAGCGACGTACGCTTGTGTGCGAGGCCTAGATGAGTGGGGGCTTGTGCGGCCGACGCGTAGCCGGCCATTGTTCGCGCCATTTTTGCCGAAACCACGCGCGGCGAATATAAATTGGGGGCGAGGGCGGGCTGCGCTGCGGCGGCGGGGTCCATTTTAAAATTTCACACCGCGTCGACGCCGTCATGTGCGCATAGATATCGGGGGCGAAATGTCGCGCGCGTGCCCCTTTTGTATTTATGCGTTGGCCGGACGCGGCCGTGTTGGGAGATTACATCGTGTGTATATGAGTTCAGCTGCCGAACGATACTAAAGAGTGTGCCGAAGACATTTCCTTTAATATTGACCCCGGTTGCGATATTTTGCTTTATTGGAACGCGTTCACTTAATTGAGCCATGAATATCCCACGAATTAACATTTCGTACTTGTAATTTTTTCTGCCACCATGGGGGCCTATCATTAAACTTAACGCTGTATTCTCGGTGTATAAAAAAGTCCTGTATTGTATAACAGTAAGAGTGTAAGGTTTTTATCAAACAGCAAAAAAAGTCATTTTTGTCGTTACAACGAAAAGCTCACAAAATCAACAGTATTTTAAGCGATTGAGATAAGACGAAATAATACAAAAAAGAAATACTAAAACAAAAAACACAGACAACGATTTTACGAAACAATCCCGGAGCGGGCGGCGAAATTTCCGATCCGTATCGCCCCGCTATCTTATCGCCCGCGAACGAAAATATTAATACCCCGAGCGGGT